AGACCTGTCACCCCGGGAGAAGGCAGAAGCCTTTTCTCTGAATGAGTTTTCAGTGCTTGTCCCAGAGGGGAGGGAACATCACTGAGCCCCCTCCACCTCCAAAACCCTCCTCATCCTCTCCTCTCTCTACCCTTCATATCCATCCCCGCCCCTGGACGCCCCTCCGCCTCTGCTGATCTAGCTGAGTTTCCCAATCTGTACAATTCGGTTATTAACTTTCAGAGACATTTCCTACTTCCGGATTAGATGGGTTTGGGTTTGATTCTCAATTCCATTAATTACTATTTGCCTTGGGCGTGTCACTTGGCCTCCCAGAGCCGCAATCTCCACATCTGAAGAACAAATTTAGCCCCACCCTCCTCACAGGGCGGGGAAGATGGTTTGTGCATATGTTAAAAGTTGAGCCCAGAGCTCAGTAGTGGGGGTGGGGGACTACCCCACTGACGACGACTGATGGGCTCTGGCCTTTCATTGCTTCCCGTTGAGACTTGGAATTCCAGAGGGTCAATTTTAGAGGATCCATCCGGGGGCTGGGGAGGCCTTACGGAACAAAGGGTCCTTCCTGTTCTTTGGGCGCCATCTGTCAGGTGCTGGGAGGGAGCCTGTGGCCACGCCTGTGTTGTCTGGGCCCAGGATGACTCACCCCCTCCTGGAGCCCACTCCAAGAAGCAAGGCAGGCTGGATTCGGCAGACTCCAGCTCCGTGCCGGCCCTGTGTCTGCCACACAGTAGGTGCTCAGGGCTTACTCCTGGAGGGGCTGGCGATCTGCAGGTGCTGCAGGGGCAGAGGCAGCCGAGGAAGAATAGGAGCTCTTTGCTCCATCTCCACACGTCAGACGGGCAGTGTACCTCAACCATCAACTTCTTCCGCCTTTGGCCTTAATGATGTCGCCCTGGCTGGAAGGGCTGAGCTGCCACCATGGGTATCTTTGGTGAAGAAAAGGGGCCTTGATATAAGATGCAGTTTACCAGGCTGACTAAACTTCCAAGCGTGGCGTAGAGCAGGTAAAAACAGCTGGGGTCCCAGGGCGACAAGGAAGGTACCTCCCGTCTGGAGCACCAACTGTGCCAGGCGTGGGCAGTGGGTGATGCGTGGGGCGGAGACGGCCGTCCTGGGCGTGTAGAATCCGCAGTCTTGGCCTGTGTGCATTTCTCTCTGCTGGTGGAGAAGGGCAGCCACGTCACGACGCTGGGCTGCCTGCAGCTTCTCCTTCTGGACATCCCTGAAATGTAGACCAGCTCTGCTCTGCACCTGGGGTCCTGGGAGGCGCTGGAGGGAGGGCCGGCCTTCTCCTGAGGAGAGTGCTGGGCTCTGCTCACCCCGGGGTTAGCCTCAACCATCTTTCTTTCCGTGACTAGAGGGGCTTTCCAGGGGATCCCATCAGCCCCCTGGCTGTGGTTTCTCTGCCTTTCTAGGAGTCTAGCACACAGTAGGTGCTCAGCAGATGTTTGCTAAATGACCTAACTTAGTTCAGTATCTTACTTTTCCGCTGGCACTGGCGGTGGTGGAGGTGCTGGAATAATCATTCAGCCCCCGGGATGCCATGTAGGCACCCACTACAGCTCCGGCAGGCCAGGGGCCTCTTGTGGTAGAAAATGGGTGATCTTGGCCATGTCTCTGGGAGAACGAGGGTTCAAGCAGGAAAGGGGTTTGTGGGGGCGGGGGGGAGAGGCTCTTTCTTCAGGATTTCGAAGATGGCCTCTCGGGCCATTGCTGTCTGGGCACTTTTTGGCCCGGGTTTCAGTTCTACTTTATCTCTGTCTCCCAAACATGTCCCACACCAATGGATGGCAGGAGAGAAAGCTGCCTGAGGCTGCCACCTTGGGCCCCAAGGCCTCCTCGACTCTGTGACCACAGAGGTGGGGGGAGCTGGGAAAGACTGGCCCCTGGGGAGCCAGATCTGGGAAGAAGGAGGTCACCACCACTGGCAGATGCGAGCTCCTGGGGTAGGGTGCAGAGGCTGATGCTGCTGCTGGAGAGATGAGATGGAGAGCCTGGGGGACGAGAGAGGACAGTACAAGGCTACAGCTGCAAGGCTCTGGCTCAGACAAGGGAGGAAATGGGGGAAAACAAGCCTAATTCGGGGAAGCAAATGAGGCCACCTCAACACTCACTCACTGAAGGCTTGGTCGGCCACTAAACCTCGAGGCAGAGTCTTTCCCTTTCCTTGGCATGTTTCCACGGAAGCAGAGAGTGTCAGGAGATGCCAGGGATGCGGGGTAGAGGGGCTTCTTCCAGGCCTGCCACTCCTGGTACCCTGGGGATCAGTGCGGAGACACTGTGGTCCTCCATCGCCATCTTCAGAGCTTCTCCAGTTGCCCAGGCCATGGTCCACTAGGAGCAGAACCGAGCTCATCAGACCCTCCAGGCCTTCGCACCTGCTTTCAGTCCTGGCCAACGGGGCAGGTTTCTGCTTCCAGAAGCTTGTTCCTTAGCTCCTTTCCTTATCAACTGGCCAACTACTGAGGGTCCATGCAGGCCAAGGCCAAGGTGGGTCTGTGGCTGCTCACAGCCAACGTCCGGTCCAGGCGTGTGATGTGCTCCTCTGGCTCAGGCCCTCCCCGTCAGCACAGGACTCCCGCACCCCCGCCCTCGGCTTCCATCCTCTGCGGGACTCGCCTCGGGGATCCGCCCTATCTGGGCCCAGTCCTTGTTGGCCTTCCCTTTTCTCTCTGCCTCCACCTGGGACCAGGTGGAGAGGCCACCTCGTGTCAGCCAATCTACCATTGGCTTCCACAACATGGAAACGTGGAGAAACGTGCTTTGTTGCCAGCGAGATCTCCCGGGCCCACCAGGCCCCGAGGAACAGGAGCAGCTCTGGGATTAACAGGTGGGACCTCCAAGCTCCCCACTGTGGGGCTGAGGGCTGACATGGAAATTGGGGACAGACCGCACTCCTGGAGTCCCCCTGATGGTGCGGGAGGTGGTTTTACTGGGGAGCAAGGGCTGGATGGTGACTGGATGGGCAGCTGGTGAATTTGGGTTGCTGGCTACCTGGTACTCTTGAAGAGTGAGGGGCCCCACATCTGAGTCTGCCCCTGTCCTGCTCTGCGTGGGGGACACTGGGCAGGGTCTGACCACAGCGGTGGTGACAGCCATGGAAGGTGGGTTGACTCCCACCGAAAGGGCGGATTAATGTGCATGTGGGTGGCAACTGCCAGAAACCACCCAAAGGAGCAGCCGGAAGAGTTCAGGAGAGGTGAGAGCTCTTTCTGGTCCTCTGTGGGGTTTGTTGAGAAGATTAGAAAGCCCTCCCAGTACCCTCCCCTGGGTAGCTGTTGCTGGGGCTCATCCTGGAGGACGCTCATCTAATTCCTGGGGACGACCAATGGCTTGACAAGGGACGACAGGCCCCCTTCTGGAAACTAAGCTCGCCTTCAAGGACTGTGACCAGGGGAGGATAGTGTGGCCCCAACAGGGCTCATCAGCTGACACCGACCCACCCACCAAGTGCAGCCCCCTCCCAGTGAGTTGGCTTTCGGTGGAGAAGGTTGATAGCAGCATTAGCCAATATGGGGACCTCCTAGTGCTGACACGGGTAATGGCTGTGAATAATTCCTGAGTTCCAAGCCCTTTTTTGGATTGTAAAATTTGTTATGACCTGCCTTGTCACCAAGCCCTGCATCTCATCCGCCCTCAATCTTCACCATCCTCAATGTGCCACAGACGGTTCTCAAACTGTGCTCGTCTCTAACTGGTCAGCCTGGGCTTGGGGTGAGGAGAGGAAACCGCTTGGAGGCAGCCACCTGGAATGGGGGAATAGAGTGCATTTGAAGATTCTCCCATGTTCCTTGGAGTGTTGAATATTTGTTGACCCTAAAAACACAGACCACTTCCTCTGCATGTCCTGCAGCGGCGGCCAGCGGTCTGGCGGCAGGCAAGGCCTCTGCACGTTGGAGGTCTTCGCCAGCTCTAGCTCAGGTGTAGCTTTCTGGCTGAGTGGGACGCCACGCAACCTGGTCAAACTCCAGACTTTTCTTTTTTAAAGAGAGACTCTGAGAGGGAGGCAGCACTGCGCAGCAGGAGGAAGAGTGCACTGGGAGCCAGGCCTCCCGACAACCAGTCGCCTCTGCCTGGGGGCCCACCTGGGCCGTTTCCTCACTGGTAAATTAAATGAGTGGCTGATGCTCTCTGAGGCCCCTTGTGGTCACACGTCTGTGCTCACGTGGGACAGGCCTGGCGTCCCGGTAGCATGCGGGCACAGCATGGATTCCAAGGTCACGGCCTCAGGGTCAGACATAGGCACCTTCCGAGGTTTACCGCTGGGCCCCCACACCCCCAGGAAGGGGTCCAAGGGGAAACTGCCTTCCACCAAGTCCATCCGAGGGCAACACTCCAGCAAAGCATTGGAGCCCACTTCCCAGAGATTTTAGATTCCAAACTGAGTCCAGGGCCAGCCTGCCTTCTCCCCAGGCCTGCGGGCTGCCAGCCTCATGTAAACAGAGGTGGCAAGTGTCTGGGGAGCAGTTTAATCAGTCAGGGAGGCGGCAACAGCAGGGCTCGCACCAGCTCACGGGAGAAGAGGTGAGGTTGTGATGAATATTTACAGTTACTAAAGAGAATTTCCCTACAGTACCCACAAATAGAAGTATATATATATTTATCTTTATCTTTATATATATATATATAGTACTTAATTAGATGCTCTATCAAGGGAAAGCATGAATCTACAGGTTCCTCCCCTAGCAGCTCTCTTCTCTTCTGTCCCATCACAGAATCCTTAGAGCCCAACCACACAGTGCCCGCGTCCTGGGCCCAGGGCCAGAGGCATTGGTGGGTGTGGACACCCTGCAGCCATTGACACCGGCTTATCAAGCCCACCAGACAATCCTTCACACCCCTCGTTCCTCGGCCTGGCTTCCTGTCTCGGATTCTGCCTCCGAGAACCTCCCTGGAGACAGTGACGTGGCAGCCACACTCCTCTCTCTCTTGAAGCGTTGGGCAGAGGGTACATGCAGTCTCCCAATGCCGCTCTGCCAGGGACCCGCCCTCGAGTGACACAGAGCGTCCTGGCCCAGGCGGCATGGCGAGTGCTGGCCCAGGACAGGGCACCTGCTGTCCTGGAAATGAACAGGCACAGGGAGCGGGAGGGAGAAAGGCTGCCTTAAGCAGTGTTTTCCCAGGGGGCGGATATGGGAGGTGTGCGGCCCAGCTGGGGTCTCTGCCCCGGCGTGGTCTCTCCCTCCACGGGCGGTCAGGGGTTCCTGATGGGCAGACGCCGTGGTGATTTCCCAAGGCGACGTGGAGGCCCGTGGAGCCGCCTTTCAGCTTCTCCTGTGGAGGGAAGGCACTCGCCCCCTCGGGCCCCCGGCATCCCAGCAGGGCAGCGCCCCAGGGTTATTTGTAGGGCCGCAGGAATCGGGACACTTTGGAACGCAGCAGCTTGATGAAGGAGCGCGGGAACATCTCCTTGGACTCCTGGGCTGTGTACTTGAAGTAGTTCTGGGGGTGCGCCAACACGTCAAAGAGGGCCTTGATCAACTTCTTGTCCTGCAAGACACAGCGAGGCCCGGGTGAGACCAAGGGTGGGGCTGGGGGCGGGGCCAGCGGGGAGGAGGCCTGGGGCCAGGCTGGAGGGCCCTGGCTACTGGCCTCCTCAATGCCTGGGGGGCCCTGAAGGCACCTGTGGGGTCTCTGCAAGGATGGGAGGAGGGGGAAAAGGCTGCCTGGCTGGTGGGCTTCAGGACTCCACAGACTCTTTGCTGTGAACAGTTTTCTCGTTTTAATAGTCTAATTGCTTTTTTAATAATCTATTGGTTTTTAACTCTTGGGGTTCCAATATTTTATTTAAAAAGGGTTATATTGCAAAAACAAAACAAAAGGGAACAACTTGTCGAAAACCAGAGAACTCGGAGCAGGGAGCACAGGCTTCAGAGGCAGCAGCCCCAGCTTTGAAACAGTAGCTCCCCCACCTACTCCTTGACCTGGGAAAAGGGCTCCGCTGCTCTGAATTTCAGATTTTCACTTGTGTGATAGGGTAACGATCCCTCCTCTTAGGGCTGCGGGAATGAGTGTGGAGAGCCTGGCCCGCAGCGGGGCTCAGTCCACGTGTGCCGGGAGGGTCTAGGCAGCCCACCCGGTCCAGAGGCTGTCCTCACTGAGAGGCCTCTGGAGGGGTGGGCGCCGTCCACACTCTGCCGCCGTCGGTTACCAGCTGGGCCTCCTCTCTGAGCCCAGGGTCGTCATCTGTAAAGAGGGCGATGCCCGGCTGGAGGAGAACCCGAGGAGCAGGTGTGAGACCTGGCTGAGGCCTCCCTGGGGGCTCTGGCAGAGCCGTGCTCATTGTGGCATACACTCACCATCTCACAGGGACTCTGGTCGCATTTTCTGTCACACGCTCAGACTCTCTCTCTCACACACACGCATCCACATCCTAGAGAAACACTCGTGGAGCTCCTCCTATGTGGTAGGCGCAGTGTAGACAGTGGGGGTGGAATGCTGAGTGGGGACCCCTGCAGCTCCTCCCCCACGAGGGGGCGGGGACCAAATAACCAGAGAAGAAACCTAAACTGCGGAGCTGACAGGTGCCAAGGGGGAGGGCCAGTGGGACTCTAAGGGTCTGTGACCCGGCCAGGGAGGTCCGGGCAGGCTGCCCAGAGGCTGGGACGCCTGAGAGCAGAGCAGAAGGATGGTGAGCATTCACTGAGCAAAGAGATGGGGGAAGCACGCTCCTGAGAGGCCTCGGCGAGTGAGTGCAGGGAGTGTGGAGGCCTGGGAGCCGTGGCAGAAGCAGGCGGTCGCCACGCCTGGCTGGGCCTTGCTGGCCAAGGTTTGCGTCCTAAGAGATGGGAACACCCTAGCTCTGAAGAGATGCTCCCAGCTGTAGGGTGGCACTGAGGGCAGGGGAGGGGCGAGGAGGAGCAAGTCGTGTACCAGCTACAGGACAGACTGACGGAGAGACCAGGATGACTCCCCGGTTCCTGCTAAATAGATGGGCACCTGAAGAGGGAGGTGAGAAGCTTCTCGCCCTGAGACCTCCAGGTCATCCTGAGTGCAGCAGGAGTGCACGAGGCCTGGGGCAGGGAGAACCCAACTCCGCTAGCCATCTCCATTTCTCAGACATTGCGGCGGGGCTCAGAGGGCTGGCCTGGGGCCATGGGGCTGCAGCAGGAGTCAGCCAGGCGGACTGGCCCGGCCCTGCTCTTGCCCTCTACACCATCTCCTGGCTCCCAGGATGGGGTGCTGTCTGCCTAGAGCCTGAGCTGGGGCCAGACCCCTGGGCCCTAGCAGATCTCCAGGTCTGGCCTCTCGTGGTGAGAACCCAGGGCCCTAACCTGGCCAGTGTCCCCTGTGTGACAGCCCCAGGCCCCCTTGATGACAAGATGGCTCTGCTTCTCAGGGCCAGCAGCAGGATGCGGAGGGAGTCAGTCCCAAAGGCAGCGGTGGAGCCCGCTGATTGTATGATACCACCCTGTCAAACTACCCCCATTTCACAGACGAGGAGAGAGGCGAGAGCTGGTAAGGAACCTGCCCAAGGACACGACCCAGGTCTGGGCTAGACCCCACCGGAGGGCATGTCTCAGACCTCCTGGTCTGGGAGGACAGGTGCGCCGGATTCAGTCCCCACCCCCAGGGCACCCCTGACCCCCTGTCACCTTCTCCTTTCCTGTCACCACCCTCCTCCCCTCACGTCTTTAGGGGTCTGGGGGTCGGGGTTGGGGTGAGGATGGCCCTGGATCATCACAGGCTCCATGGATCCCTTCCCACGAAGCAGCTCACTCACTTTCAAAATTTCCTGGTGATTCTCCGAGGCGTAGAGCCGTCCGTCGCGCACGATATCTTCTATTAATTGCTGGTAGTCCTCTGTGAATCCCCCAGCAGGGGCGGGAGGAAGGTGAAGGGCTCGGCTCTAGACCCGCCTGCTTCCCTCTCACCTTCAGCCTCCTTCCTCTCCTGCTCCAGCCGCCGCACCTTTGTACCCTCCACCCAAATTGTTCTCCTTGAGGTTTGGCTAGCTAGAAAACCCCTACTTAACCCTCAAAACCCTGCTTGGGCAGCACCTCCTGCTGAAGCCCGCAGACACCACTAACTGATCCCTCATCTGCACCACCCGTGCTCCTGTCTGCATCTGCGCCACCCCTCACAGGGCTGGAGCTGCCTGAGGCCGGGATGTGTGATTCATCTGTGTCCCCAGGGCCTGGGCTGGGTGCACAGTGTGGCCACACTCACCGTCATAGGTGACATAGGGCACTTGGAAGCCTTTGCCGCTGTTGCCTTCGTTGGATTTGAACTGGATCCAGAGCTTCCGCGAGCGGGAGGTGAAGGCGATGGGCCTCTCGTAGGTCTGGCAGGTCTCATAGGTGGTGATAGAGGTGGGCGAGGCTGGGGGTGGGCCCGGGCAGCCATTGCTGAGCAGCCCGCAGAGCCGCAGCTCCTCATCTGGCCCCTGCCTCAGGCGGCTCCCTCCCCACCCCGTCAGCCACCCAGCACCCACAACGCCCCGTCCCCTAAACACTCCAGCTCTCCAGTCTCTGTACTTGTTTCCTCTGCCTCAAATGCCCTTCCCCACCTCAACCCTGATTCCTACTCATCTTTCTGAGACCAGTTTCCATGCGCCCTTCTCCAGGAAGCCTCCCTGACTGCTCCGTCCCCACCCTACTATGTTCCTGCTGTACTCTGGTGAACCCTTTATTACAGCCCCTCTCTATAGGGTTGTCACTGTGTCCCTCCAGCCGACTGCTCCTCAAGGACAGGGCTCATGCCTGCGTTCAACACAGAGCCAGGGCTGGGGCGGAGGATTAGATTTGGGAAGTCCCCTCTCCTTGTGAGCAGATAAACAAAGGTGAGCCTGCTGACCCCTGGGGCTTGCCAAAGGGTACTCCATCTTCTCACTGCCCTCCGGGGGGGGGGGGCCTTCCTGAGGTGCCCTCGAGGCGGGGGAGGCTGGACCCTTAGAGCTCAGCCCTGTGGGCAGACAGCGAAGGGGAGGATGCTGGGGACTAGGGAGGCTGGTGACGGAATGGTCCAGGGATGGTCCCTGGCTGGGCCCTGACTGGCTGTGGGACCCCGGGCAGGTGCCTTTCCCTTTCTGGCCTCAGTCCTCCCATTCGCACACAGGGGCTTTCTGGCTCTTCGGCGACGCTGAGTGGGCGATGCCCGCACATGGTAACGAAGCCCAAGCAGAACAAAGGGGCACAGGGTGGACAGAACGCCCCTCAACCTCCCGCTCCTCTGGCCGGTCTCTGTGTATCAGAGACCTTCTCGGCCCAGGCAGGCAGGCGCGTTCTTGTGTCTGCCTGTGTCCTCCTCCTTCTTCCCAAAACATCCTGACCTGGAGCTTGCTCCTTGTGCGCACCGTGGCCCTTCAACAGCAGTGAGGTGCCCTGGCCTAGGCACACACTGTAAGGGATTTAACCCGGTCTCAGGGAGGGACTCAGGGCTTTCCCTGCCTTTCTTGCTGCCGTGACCATCTGGGCACACTTGTCCGCATGTGCTGCTGAGGGGCCAGCTGCTGCCCCTCGCCTGGTCTCACCACGAGCCCGACAGGGGCAACGAGCCAGGAGGCTGGGGCTCACAGTGGAAGGGATGGCCCTTCTCACCCCTAGGGCATCTTGTGTGCTGCACAGGCTGGCCCTTAGCCCCCCAAACCTCAGAGGGAGGAGGAGGCCCTGCAGACAGGCGGTCACTCCCGGGGTCTCACGCTGGGTTGTGTGACAGGACACAATGGGACAACTGGGGTGAGAGACTGGCTTGTCGTCAGTGTCGAGATCAGACGCCACCAGGTCCTGATCCCATGCTTAGGGTGCATGCTAAGCTCTCTGGACCTTTCCAAGGAGCTCTGTAAAGCTCAGCTCTTGGAGTCAGACAGAAGTAGATCTAAACCCTGCCACACAGATAAATCCTGGGCAACCTCCTCCCCGCCCTGTGGAGCTGTGCTGAGGGAGCGAGGGGTGTGGGGACGTGGCTGAGGCTGTCTCTGGTCCCACTGCCCCCACCTCGACTGGCACGTACCGCTCTTCCTCATGACCAGGACATCGCCACACTCATCCTCAATGGGCAGGAAGATCTCGGGGACCACGATGAGGATCCTGCGCTTGGGGGGCGGCGAGATGTGCCACACGCACTCGGCATTGGCCGGGTAGTCGCCAGGGTAGTTGGGGGACTCGATGTAGCCCGTATAGTCGCCAAGCTCGCCGCCGCAGTGCTGGTCTGTGGGCACCGTGGCCCGTGGGCCTGCTCAGGCCTGGCTGGACGGGTGCCCTGGCCGGCTGGGCCCTCAACAGCCTTGGAGGCCCAGGGCAGGACTGGCAGGTGCTCTGTCCCCACCTCGGCTCACCTCCACCCGGCCCTCCCCGCCAGGCCCTGAGCCAATCTTCTCTTGGGGACCCTGCCGAGGCTGCCCCTCAGTGGGAGCGCAGGTCCCCGGTCCCATATTGGTTCTCTGAGGCCCAGCCCAAGCGTCTCTTTCCTGGACACCCTTGGCTGCCCCGCCTGACTCTCTGGCCTGGGCCTTGTCCTAGCCTCTGCTTGGAGCCGCATGCCCCTCTGGCAGGCCCGCTGAGTGCCCCTGCAGGTGTCAGCTCCCCGGCCGGCCCCTGTTGTCCTCCTCGTGTCTCAGCCAAGCTGCAGGGTGAAATCCCAGGGAACCCCAACTTCCCCTTTCTCTCCACTCACTTTCTGTCCATTCCTTCACCCCACATTCCCTGGGTACCCGCCAGGCGCCAAGTGTGGTCGCCCTCCCCACGGAGCAGGAAGGCTCCGGGACAAGCAGGTGACACACTGAGGAAACAGATACGTCTCCCTTTCTTCGTTTCTTAGCCAAGCTGTGTGTCCTGAAGAGGCCAAACATGACATTTTTATTAGCTAAACGGTTCCTGGCCGTAACCTGAGTTCTGCAAAGAAAACTGAAGGTAAATATTAAACCTACTTAATTTTCTCATACATTTCATTTAAAAATCTTCTCCTCGTGTCAAAATTTCTGGGAAACATTTCATTTTCACCTTATTATTCCAGAGGCTTCCCTCCCATTTGGTTTCCCCACTTTTACTCATTAGGACATTTAAAACCCTGTCTCTGCTGAGTTCCCCCATTGCACATGCTCTTCCGCCCCTGGAGGCCACAAGCTCAGGTGGGGGACAGCCCTGGGCAGAGCAGACGGCGTCTACTTCAGGATTAAATCCCCTTTGTGGGCCTCTAGGCTGTTCCAGACATGACCAGCAGCCCAGGGAAGGGATAACTGACTGGACACTGATTAGGAAAACGGTAAAATACCAGAAAATATGCCCCAAAGGACACTGAAAAATGAATTAAAAATACCTGAAATAAAGACAGCATCCTCTTTTTTATCCCCAAATGACTTGCTAAGTCAGGAGCTTGGATAGTGTTTATTTCCCAAATTGTCTTACGCTGCCCACGTTTCTTCTGACTAAACTGAGCTTCTTGTCCACGAGAAGCCTGTCTGACTCTCTCCTCGCACTTCCGCACCTTGTACACACTTAGCGTCCTGCTTCCCATGGCTCAGGGTGTCAGCTTGCACCCACTTGGCAGTCCAGACAGAGCACGCCTTCAGAGCTGCAGGGCCTGGCCCTGGGAAGCTGCCCCACAAGACTTCTGCTCCCTCCCTGGCACAGGGCCTGGCTTTTCCCTCTACAGACCCAGAGCGCGAGCAGGGCCTGGCCTGGCACAGAGGCACAGGCCACCCTGGTGAGTGACAGGAACTGATGAAGGATGGGTGCAATCACGTCGCCCTGCAGAGCGGGCCAGGCCAGGCTGCACCCCCCGTGCCATGGGGTTCTAGGTGGATGCAGGGCTCCCGCAGGCATCCCACTGAGGGATGTGCAGATGTGAGGGAGCAGAGGGGAGTCACCAGTCTCCCTCGGACCCCAGGTGAGGTCAGGGCTCACTCTGCCCCCCATAACCTGTCCCCCGCCCCTGCCCCCGTCAGGTTCCCAGTCCCCGGCCGTGGGAGGAGCAGCACCTACTTTTGCAGTGCGTGACGTTGGTGGAGCCATCGAAGTCGGTGCTGGTGTTGCCTGGACAGGTGATACAGTGGTTCTGGCCGAACTCGGGCTGGTAGGTGCCGACGGGGCAGCGGATGCAGCGGTGGGTGGTGGTATTGTAGTGGTGGCCTGGGGAGCAGTGCACTGCGGGGGCGGGGGTGGTATTGGTGGGAAAGGTCAAGGGGCATTCTCCACTCTCTCCCTCCCTCGAGGTCTGTCTCAGCAGAGTTCAAGCCCTTCCCCACGGCCCAGTGACCTCCCACTACCTGCACCCAGCCCCTGAACAGGCCGATCCTTCCGTTCCCTATTCCCGTCCACAAGTGCGCACAGTGCGCTGTGGACCACCGGGGACGGAGCCGTGCGCGAAGCAGCCGAGGCCCTACCCCTGAGGCTCACACCCTACTCATACTATGCAGCATGCAGCTTAGTTCATATGTTCCGTGGGAATACATGTTGTCAGGCCAGGTGTGGAGCTCTCAAGAGGGAGGCTGGGGAAGGCAGAGTGAGGGGATTCTGAGTGGAGACTGAGGAGTGTGGAGCTGGCTTGAGGCCGCCTCGGGGAGGGGTTAGTAAAGCGCAGGCCCTGAGCCAGGTGTGTGTTTGTGCCAGGTGCAGTTGGAGTGGAGGGCCGGAGGCAGTGCTGGCTGGAGGGGAGGTCAGGGGCCATGTGAGCCAGCTCCTGGCATCCCAGGGGCCATGGTGAGGACTAGGCCTCCCTCTGAGCGAGGAGGGCCACCTGGAGCCTTTGCATCTTCCCGGCTGCTGCACTCGGAGCCAGCTCTGGGGGTGATGGTGGGGGCGGAGGCCCAGGCAGGACAGGTCAGGGCCACCCGGGGAGTGGTGGTGGTGGCCTGGATCAGATTGGCAGCAGTGGGGCGGCAAGAAGTCCCTGAAGTCTGGGTCTGCTTAGAAGATGGAGCCGGCAGGGGCTGCAGACAGAGTGGATGTGAGGGAAGAGGGAAGGAGGACTCAGGTGAGCGCCTGGCAGGATGGGGCTGCTGTGAACGAACGAACGGAGGGGGAAGACTGCGGGGAGAGGACGAGGCGGCTCTGGACGTGTGGAGCTGGAGGTGCTTGTGAGACAGAGCGTGGAGTTGTCCCCTGGTGGGAGGGCAGAGTGGAGTTCAGGGGAGAGGCTGGACTAGAGACAGAAACTGGGGTCACCCGTACAAAGATGCTATAGAAAGCGAGCAGAGGAGACGACTTTATTCCGACTCAGGTGTGAGTGCATCGGGCCCGGGACGTCCCAGATCTACCAGGGTGAGGGGGGAGGCTGAGCCGGGGCACAGGCCCAGGAAAGGTGCTCCGAGGGACCCGGTCATGGGAGATGTGGACTGAGAAGTGACTCGGGCTCCAGCAACGCAGGGATCCTGTAGGCTGCCTTGATGGGAGCAATTATGGGGAGCAGTGGGGGTGACAGTCTGACTGGCTGGTGGGGTGCAGTAAAGAAGGGGAAGAGAGGAAGTGGAGCCCAGACACTCTTTCTACAAGGTTAACAGGAAAGGGGAGCTGGAGGGGACGTGGGGCTCGAGAGTTGGGGTTTTCTTTTTCAGATCGGGAGGATTCAGAGCAGTCTGCGTGTTCAGCAGGTGGGGAGAGCTGCCCCAAAGGCTGACGCCTGAGAGGGAGCTAGCGGAAGGGGTAGCAGGGTCATCAGCGGAGAGCGGGGTGGGGTGGAGTGGATCAGTGTCCGGACTGCAGGCCCTGGGCGGCCCTGAAGGGAGAGTCTCAGTTAAGGTGAGACCTCTACCTCACCCTCACTGCCCGGCTGCCTCCAGACTTCTTCACCTTCCTCCCCCTCCCAGCCTTCCTTCTAGGGGAGCTCTAAGCCCTCCCCAGTGCCTCAAGGAGCTGGCGGCTGCCCTTTATTGCTCCCAGGGCTCAAAGCTCCAGACTGCAACTACTGCGCCTGCCTGGCCCTCTCGTCTGAGACCCTGGGGCAGGCTTGTGTTGGACCCCTCTGTCCCCATCCTAGTATGCGCTGCAGTGCTGGTCACCAATGTCCGCCACCTGAAGGCTCCGGGCTCCTCCCCTGACCTTGGAGGTCTGCCAGGGCAGGAAATGAGAGGGTTGAGAGAAAAGGTCCCTGAGAAGCCCAGCTCGGCCCCACGGGGTGGGTAGAGGGGTCCTCACCTTTGGCCTCACAGTCTTCGAAGGAGGCGGTGCCCTCGTGCTTGGTGAGCAGCCCCCCTCCGCAGAGGAAGCAGCCGGTGCGCCCGGGCTCGGGCTGGTACGTGCCCACAGGGCAGGCCTGGCAGGGCCTGAAGCCGTCAGCAGAGAAGAAGCCCGCAGAGCACTGGCCTGGAAGTCAGAGGTCATGGCTCAAGCTGGCCCAAGGGGTTGCCTCAGTCCATGCCCTGCTCTCAGCCTTCACCTGCCCCTGGGCAGCAAGGCTGGGGGTGCAGGGAGGAACCTGGAGGAGGAAGCCTGGGCTGCGCAAGGCCTGGCCCCTAGTCCAGATGCTGCCAGAGGCTCACGTGCCGTGTGGCCTTGGCCGGGCCTGGCCTTACTTCTCCCACCAGCAAGAAGGGCTGCAGGTTGAAGAGCAAGTGGCCTTGCTGCTGAGCTGGGAAGTGTGGACCCCACACGTGGAGGCCGGAGGCCGTGGGAGGTCATTTATTTCAGAGGGGCTCTCCAAGGGGGGCAGGTGCACTGTGTGTGCACATGGGAACTGGGGCTGTGGAGCTCCAGGCTGATGCTGCCTTGTCCATCTGCAGGGCTGGGCCAGAGCAGAGGGAGGGGGGTCTGTGAGGTTCCCGAGGGCACAGCTGGGACAAAGCGAGGGGACAACACATTCTAGCAAAAAGTCAGGATGCAGAGGGTGTTCCGGCATTGAGGGAGTAGGGGGTTCAGTGCCCTCTCAGCCCAGACCTTGGAATTCTGTGCTCCCACCAGCATCCACTCTGGGCTCTCTAACAGTCACCACCACCCCTGGGGGGAGAGACCACACTCCTGGAGGGTGCAGTGGGCCAGAGAGCAGCCGGCCACCCTGCGGAGATCTGGGGCTGGGCTCTGATATCTCTATCCCCCAGAGAAGGCTGGAGGTCTCCACCACCCTAAGGATCCCATGCACCCACCTCGCTGGCACACTTTTCCCCACCCATTCTCTTGGTGATCCCCACAGTGGGGATCCCTCCCACAGGAAAGGGAGGTTGATGGGGGGTGTGGGGCTTGAGCCCATTTCACAGAGGATTTTTAAGTGGGATAGTAACTGGAAAAGCTCTTTGCAAACCAAACTGTGCTTGGTAAATTGAACAAGGGTTTTCCAAACCCTGTATAAGGCGGCTGTAAAGTTCTTTGTGTAGAGCGCGGTCTTGCCCAAGTATACGGCACACTCCGTAAAGCATTCTGATGATGATGGAGTGCTCCACGAAGTGTAACACAGAGCCCCGTGTACCTCCATTATAAACCGTAAGCTGACCTGTAAACAATCAAGTGTTTGCAAACTGTAAAGTCCTTTCCAAACTGCATGATGCAATTTTAAAGTACTGAGTGCGGCCCAGCACTTGCTAACTGCTGTGCCCTCTGACACGTGGGCGCTGTGGGTCTCAATGGATTTTGTAAGTGCAGCTGCATGGAAGTCATGGCAGGCTCTGGGAATGGCAAAGAGTTTTAAAAGTATCACAAGGCACCCAGGCCTTCATTTTGGGAGCCTCAGTGAGACAGGAGGCACCCCATCCTCGCCCCAGCCTCTCCTTCTAGGGTGGGCCAGCACTCGCCTCCACACTCGGATACGTTGCGGGCACCAGCCAGGCCGAGTCCGTCGCTGCTGGGGCATGGTGTGCAGCTGAGCTGGCCGTCTCCGTCCTGGTAGGTCCCTGGTGTGCACGGCACACACTGGCCGGGCTCTCCGCTGAAGTAGGTGCCAGGCCCGCAGGCCACTGCAGAGGCAAAGTGGAGAGATTGCTGGTGGCAGAGGTCGGGAGCAGTGGCCGGGCAGTCTGTCTCCTGGTGCCTCAAGCCCAGGCTCTGTCCTACCAGATGGGGCACAGCCCTCGTCCCTGTGGCTGAAAGCGTACAGACGGGCCCAGATTCATCCCAGAAGAGCCAGGAGTAGGAGCCAGGCGGCGGCCATCTGTGAGGACCCTGGAGGCCTGACCCTGGTCTCGAGCACCCTCCTGGGTGCTCCTGCTCAGGGTCCTCTGCAGACCCCTCCCCCTCAGCCCTCTGGTAGATGCCTGTGTCCCAGGGCTCTGCTGTTGGGACCTTTGTTCTCTCTCTACTCCACATCCTGCCCTCCAGCCCTGACCCCCAGCCTGTGTACTAACTGCCTCCGGATGTCCCACAGTCCTTTCGTCCAAACCAAGCTCCCCTGCCCTGCTCTTTCCTTCCTTGCGTGGTCGAGTTGGCACCTGAGGACCTGGGGCTGTGCAGAGGAGTTGGGGGAATGAAAGAGGCATGGGCAGGAAGGCCTGGTGGCTGGGGACAGTGGGAGATGCTGGGCTGAAGAGCGAGCCAGTGTGGCCGGCTGCACAGAGCAAAGCAGCAAGCTGATGAGTACATAAGGCCACTGATTGAGAAAGTGAGTTAAGGAGAAAGGGAGCCAAGTGTCTCAATGGAGAAGATATTTAGAGACACGGAAAGAGGGAAGGTTAGAAAGAACCCTGAGGTATTGAATTGGAGATATTGGTATGAACTTGTGGTTTTCTAACACACACACACACACCCCTATAGAAACAGTGCAGGTATGTATGGGGGTATGTGTATGCATACCTATACTGGCTAGTTCTGTCCAACGAGAGGGCCCAGAAGCAATGACACTCCAGCAGCAATGACCCTCCAGTAGCAATGAGCACCCCAGCTTTTGGCTCCTACATGTCATCCTCCTCTAAAAGGAACCAGGGGTCCTTGGGGATTTGGGTGATTCCAGGGGCTGGGGTAGGGAAAGTACAAGTTGAGTCTGAGACATCTTTAGTGCCAGACAGTAAGAGAAAGCTCAACAACTGAGGGGGACATGTCAAAGGAGACAGGAGCAGCCTGACGGGGTGCCTACTGCCTAAGCAGGGACAATCTGAGCACTGAATTAAATAACGTCAGGAATGGATCACAACTTAGTGAGTGAAAGAGAAATCTATGAGTCCATACTGATAGAAATACATAAATATACAGATACACACACACGTACATACATACATACATAAGTCGGGGAGAAGGGAGAGCTCTTTCTTACAGTAGAATGTTAACTAATAAACGTAGAAGGGATGATAGAAACAGAGAATATCCGCTTGGCAACCATTGTAGAGGTGGCTGCTCTGGTGGGAGTTGTCAGTGAGTGCGATGGCTGGTGGGTGAAGTTTGATGAGAAGCAGGATGTTGGTATAAACTCAGAATACACCCCCAGAAAATCCTAATCAACGCAGAGGGAAAATGGTGAATTAAAGTGGAGCAACTGTGGTGGGCTGGGTTAATATCCTCTGCCCCCGATGGGGGCGCTGAAGAGCAGGCATCGACCAGCCTCCTTCACCCGGACTCTGCCTGGCCACCCTGCCTGAGCCCCTGCTGTGGGCCTGGCCTCACCTGCTTCCTTGCAGCACGCGCTGCACCCCTGGGTGGCCCTCAGCCTCACGTGCATCTTCGCTTTGCTCCTCCTCTGGGAAGCCTTCTCTAACCACACAGACTGGTCCCTATGCCCCTCACGCCCCTCCACTGTGGCCCTGCTGGCCTGTGCTCTCCCTGTGCCATCCCTCCTCAGGATTGGGGAGTACAGATGCTGACCAAGTGAGAGCCCTGCCCAGGGCCCGGCACCAGGGGAGTGCTCTTTAAACGACAGCCATTATGATGAGTAGACGGGGCCTCTCTCTGACAGGCCTCTGCGCCTCTCTATCTCCCCCGTGTGCTGTTTACCCGGGTCGCAGTGGAAGGAAGGACAGAGGAAGTTTGCCCAGTTGACATGTGAGTGGCTGTGGGCAGGAACTCACCACATTTGCCGTCCTGTAGCACCTGGCCTGTGATGCACGCCCCCTGGCCCTCCAGGGCCTTGTTCGGCCGCTGGGCCACTTCGTACTCAGTGCCTGCAACCTGGACGGAGAACTGCTGCCGGCTGATGGACTTCCGCAGAGTCTTGATGGCAGCCTGCAAGCTCTGCTCTGCTCGCTTCCGCAGGCAGTCCGCTGCGCAGGTCTCTGCATGGGCGGGAGAGACGGTGACCTGCAACCCCCTGGGAGCTGCCTCTTCATGGAGGCTTCCCCTCTGCCAGGCACTACGCTGCGCCCGGCCTCTGCTTGGAGCCCATTCTCACAGCAGCCCTGAGGTGAGGCACCATGGCTGCGTCCATCTGACAGAAGAGGAGACTGAGGCTCCGAGAGGTAGGACCTGCTCAAGGCCACGCAGCAGATCTGAATAGAAACCAGGCCTCTGTGACTGCAACACATCACCTCCCCAGGACACAACTCCTCCATGCCACTCAGACACCCTGGAGGCTGCCACGGTCCCCAGGAAATTGTCCAGCTCTCTGGCCTTTAATCCAAGGCCCCTCGTGGTCTGGCCCCTGCCTGCCTTTCCAGTCCTAACCCCCGGAACTCTGACCCTCACTGTGAACTCCACTTTCTAGCCACCTTGCCCTACTCACTGCTTCCTGAACACATCCTGCTCTCTCTGATGTCGGTGCTTTTGTCTATTCTATTCCCTCTGCCTGAATGCCATGCCCTGCCATCTCTTCCACTTGGTGAACTTTGATTTCACGTCCTGATTCAAATGGTGCCTCTTTTGGGAAGACTTCCGGGGCCCCTCTCTTGGGGAGAGGCCTCAGCTCCGTGCCCTGTTTGTTCTCATGCTCCCACCATCTAGAGTTCCCCTTGGCACTGGGTAGTTTGTGTGAGTGTCTGCCCCTCCATGGCTGGGAGTGTCACCAGTGTGGGGACCACGGTGTGGTCCTCTCTTTCCACAGCGCCCAGGGCTGGGCACACACAGCACACGTTTGCTGACAGATCTCAACTCCTGCCACAACTCAATGCTCACTTACAGCCAAGAGGAAAGCACTGGTATGAAACACAAGCCAGCATTACAAGCCCCCTCTGGAAGCTGGGAAGACAGGTCTTTGGCTTGACTGCTCTGGGGAGCTGCAGGCATCAGCCTTCCCAGGCCCTGGCGAGGGGTGGGGGCGGGGTGAGGCTGCGCGGCTGTCACTGTGGGCCCTGAGCCCTGCTCCCCTCAGTGCCCTGGGCCTCCTCTCCATCCCGGGCTACAGGCAGCTGTGCTAAGGACCCGCACTGACTCTTGACACTTGTCCTGCTTGCCTGGCCAGCCTCCACCTCTAGGAGCCATGGCTTGGTGGGAGCCCAGCTTCCTGCCCGGCAGACCTCGCCAGCCCTCCCAGTCCACTCTCCTCCCTGAGGCCCTCAGCAGCCCACAAGGGAACCCCTCACCCACCTGAGGCCTCTTCCATCTTTGTCTCAACCTCGAACTCTGCTGTGATGTGGGTCACCTCCTTGGATGGGGACTTTCGGCCACGGCGCCTTTTCTTGGAGGAGTCACACTTGAGGGTCACAAAGGTCACGTGGCAGTTTTCTGGACAAGGAAGGGACCACTGTGGCAAAGGTGGCACGGGGCAGGGAGCAGGGTCCTACTTAGCCTGGCACATAGATTGCCATTGGTAAGGGTCCCACCTTGCCTAACAGTCCATGGTGCAGACAGGGAAACTGAGGCTGGAGAAGGCCAGGACTGGCTTGAGGTCTCGTGAGGGGCTGGCAGTTGAGCCAGGCCCTGCACCCAGCCCTCTGAGTCCATTGCACTGCTGCATATGGAGGCCCCTCGTGCATAGTCCTTAATGCAGCTATGCAGTCCCAGCCCACGGTGACTCGGCCCCCGTTAGGCCTGCTGAGTGCTGAGGTTTGTCAGGTTTGAGGAGGAACCCTAAGGTGCTCAGGAATCCTCATGGAAACAGAGCTGGGATGCCTTCCTCCTGGGCCCTTCTCACCATGCTTTCGTGGTGCTGTGCCCCGAGCCCGGAACATCCTTTTTGGCCACTGTCATTCAAGAAAGAGCTGCTGAGTGAGCCCTGTGTTCCCTCCATTTGGACACAACCAGGCTACGCAGAAAGCCCTTGCTCTAGGGGAGCTCACTTAACCCCCAGCAAGGCAGGGACGAGGGACCCCAGGAATGCTACAGGACCCAAACTTTCCATTCAATGGCTAGCCTTCTTCCCAAGGGATAACACCGCTGTCCACAGTGCACCGGGCACGGCTCCTGGGGCTAAGGAACCGTGGTAGTGAGGACAAAGAAAGGCCCCACCCTTGGAAACTCAGTCCCACTCAACCCTGGACTCCCAGCTCCCAGGCATGGGGACCCCCCCCGCCCACCCTGTGTGGGTTGGCACCAGGGCAGCTCACTCACCCAGCAGCAGCTGCCTCAGGGCCTCCTTTGCTGGCTCCCGGCTGCGGGGCTGGAGGAGGCACTTGGCATCTCGGATCTTGAAGCGGGCCTTCTGCCTGATGGAGGTGTCGGGGGCACCTGGGGAAAGCCAAAATCCCCTCAAGTGGTGGCTTCTCCTGTGGGCAGGGAGGTAGTGGGGGGCCAGGGGCTGCAGAGGGAGTGCCTGAGTGTAAGGCGGCTGCTGCGGGGACAAATCCACCGGGAGCTGGGGGTGGGTGAACCTGCACTGCCTCATTTCTCTCCTTGCAAGCCCTGGAAAAGGTGAAAGCATGTAGGGCCAGGGGCCAGCCAACCCGGGGTCTACTGCGGAGGAGGAAAGGAAGGCCTCCACCTCCTCCCCATCACCAAAGCCAGTTCGTGGGGCTCGTGCTTTCAGGAAATGGGGCAGGACAGAAGAGAGAGGGAAGCAAGGAAGGGAAGGGGCTTCGAAATAATACAGATGTCCAGAACCACTGAGTCCTTTGAAAGCAAATCACAGCCCCTTGAACTAAAGAATCCTACAATCACAGATGCTCAGAACCACAACATGCATGCTGATCACGCGTACACACATACACATGATACACAGAGGCACCCCCATCACCGAATCCCGCATCCTGAATAGGAAAAGCCGCTGAAGACACAGCCTCCTGCTCCTGCTGGCTGCGGAGTTGGCTGCTCTGTGCTGACTGGGACCTGACCGGTTGGTCTGAAAGGGATCATGCTCTGGTACTTCTGGGGCAGGGTCTTCCAGGATGGCTCTGACTCTGGGAGCTTTTAGGACCTCATGGCCACAGCAGATGTAACTCACTTCACTGAAACTGAGTCTGAGACCCATAGACTCACGGCACCTTAGGGTCACTGAATCACTGGAATCATGTCCCAGAGCCTCAGAGCTGGAAGGGCCCTTCCATGGTCCACTGTCCCTGGGCTGGGACTCAGCCTGCAACCTGCTTGCTTCTAGGTCCCGGCCCTACTCTTCTCTCCCCAGCACCCTGGGCCATGCTGGGCAGGCCCCAGTCCAGGAAACTCTTCCCTGGGCCGTACCCTGCCTCTCCCCACAGCATGGTGCTGGATGCAAAATCAAGGTGTCACCCAGGTGCATGTGGCATGGACAGGCCAGGGCCTACCTGAGCAGCTGGGCCCAGTGCTGGAGCTGGTGCTGTTGCGTTTCTGTAGCGTCTTGCCCTGGAGACTTGGGACACCGCAGCTCAGACTGTAGCTGTTTTCCGAGTCTGCAGAGAGGCCAGTGATGAGGCAGGCCTCGGTGCCCCTCCATTCCAGCACCCCCAGATCCTGGGGGCCTCAGAGGGGTCGACGAATAAGATGAAGGTCAGGACTGACTCTTATGTCAGTTCATTTCTGCTACACGGCTACGGGGCAGGAGGGAGCCCACTGCACTGCTGAGAGGGACACTGCACCCCAGGACACTGACAACCAGACGGCTGCCCAGGATCACTCAGTGATTACTCCTAGGGCAGGCTCTTTCCTGAAGAACAGCAGGGAGCAGGGACTGGACCCCAGGGAAGGAAACCCCACCCCCACCGTGCCATCCAGGACAGTTTCCGGTTACCTGGCATGAAGAGCGTGTGGGCCGGGCAGGAAAGGAAGCAGCTCTCCACACCGCCCACCTTGTTGCAGGACAGCTGGGCCCGGGGGTAGGCCTTGGCCCGAGAAAGGCACTTGCCCATCTCTGAGGAGAAGAAAAACACGAGAGGGCTTGAGGGGGCCAGGGCAGAGGCCTTTTGGAGCCAGCAGGGCCCCGGAGCATGGACCAACAGGGACTCCCACCACACCTCTGTCCTGGGGCCAGACCGTCTTGGTGGGAAGGGGCTGGGGGATGGCAGGGTCCACATCCATTTGGACATGTGGGGATGCTGGGCCCAGAGAGCTGGCTTGCTCCCTCCTTCCCTGACATCAGTCCGGGCTGTCTGTGAGAAGGTTCACGCCCTATGCCCAGACCCGAGGGCAGGGCCGGGTTCTCCAGAGCAGGTGTCCATGCCCATCTGGGAAAGGAATGGCTGAAAACGGACACGGGCTTCCTGGCAGTGACTGACCTCTAAGTGTGGCAGGGTCACTAGGAAGCCCTCTCTGGGGCGGCCCCTGGACACATCCACCAGGTGTCTGGAGATGTCCCAAACTGAGCTCTTCAGAGTTTCTCATGTGTGTATTTATCTTCTGAGGATTAAAAAATTCCCCAGACTCCTAGGAAAAGACTGACAGTTCTACAACGCTGGTAAACCTCAGAGCTGATTTTATAGATGTCTGATTGGTCAATGACAACTGGCTTAAAGGAACACGCCTATCACACTCTGAGGCCGTCATCAATGGTGGAGTCACTCCAGTGAACGGGCTGAAATAGGGGACTTAGTTGGAAAAATAAATTGGAGTGGGAAATTGCCAATTTGGATGATCTTCAACATGTGGCTGAACATTTTCAAGAAGTCTTTAAAAAGTAAATAGTCTAGAAATAAAAACAAACTTATTGCTCTTCACATAAAACATCTGGCCCCTCAAATAAATACAAGACCAAAAGTCCTCTGTTGCCAAGGAATCAAGAAACTACAAATAAAACACTTGCAGACGATGCAAGCCAAAAGGGCCACTGGAGGAGCCAGTGTTCATACGGTTAAGAAATAGAAGGACAACCAGTGGGCCGGCCCCATGGCGTAGCGGTTAAGTGCGCGCGCTCCGCTACTGGCGGCCTGGGTTCGGATCCCGGGCGCGCACCGATGCACTGCTTCTCTGGCCATGCTGAGGCCGCGTCCCACATATAGCAACTAGAAGGTTGTGCAGCTATGACATACAACTATCTACTTGGGCTTTGGGGGAAAAATAAATAAAATTATTTAAAAAAAAAAAAGAAAAAGAAGGACAACCATCCACCAACTTCTGAGGGAGACTGTAGCCGCCAACAATTCCCTGAATTTCTCTCAATTCCTAAAAGGAATTGTCATTAACTAAGATGGACAACAACACAGCTGTCTTGTTCGCACAGGGGCCTCTAGTTGAAGAGGCAAACCACCGGGCCCTGTGTGTCCTCGCATGTTCTTGCAAAGCACTGATGGCTCTTTCCCCGGGCCATCTCTCAGGGCTGCGTTTGCAGCGAGAGACTTCTAGGGATGAGGTAACATCTCCCTCCAGACAAAGAGCAGGTGGGCTTCTATTCACCCTCAAAGCGGTGAGTTTGCCCAGCTGGGTGCTCCTCAGCTATGACGCAAATACCCTGCCTGCACGGCACCCGCCTGGGTGGACGGTCCCTGGGGCAGGTGAGGAGAACCAGCACAAACATGCTGCTCACGCTGCTTGCTGTGCTGTGAGCACTGAGGTCCGGGGTCTCTGACCCAGGCGTCCTGTGACTTCTGCTGGCCCCCATGAAGCAGCAGCGGGCGAGCTTACTCAGCTTGTACGGAGGGCGAAATCTCTGACCCCACCACACATACCATTAATTCCACCACCGCAGACCATCAAAGCCCTCAGAGAAAAGTTTCAAGTCGCCTAAAAAGCAAGAGGGAAGGCAAATTGACTGGCAGTAAGTAAAAAAAAAGGAAAAAAATATGTTTGCCTTAAAGCAAGAATGTCTGGTTGTGGGAGAATACAAATAAAGATAGTAAGAGGCAAATCTGAAAATGCACAGGAAGTGGTAGAAGGCTCGAGGGGACATGAACTTGATCTACTTTGGTTTACTAAACCACTCAAGTGGTGGGACTTTCTAACAAGCCTCAGTTCTTTCCCGAGTTCCAACCTGTACCTGCTCCTTTGGGACTGTTATCAGAGACAACCGTTCCTTCTCTGGGTCAGAGCCCTACACCTGTGGTGTGGAAGGGTCTACTCTGCAAATGGAACAGCTAACATATACCTAAGAGGTTATTTTTAGAAGTCCCAGAAAATTCTCCTACATAGATTCAATTATAGCTGAGGAGCCTTAACATACCTATATTACGTATGATTCACAATCAGAATCCCTGGGCCGAAGCTTCCACATCAGCAGAACAGCTGCAACAGAGCCAGGAAGAGTCCAGGTTGAGTCTTCCTAGGTTGCCATGAACTTTTTTTTTTTTTTTTTGGCATAAACACACAAAGGTTAGGCCATGCTCTCAGGGTACAAAATCAACCACATGGCAAGCACCAGGACCAAGGCTTGTCTTCCCTGCCTCAGAGCAATTGCAGCCCTGGATAAAGTAGTTGAAGCATCTTTAGATCTTGTACCAAAATCACCTTTAACTCTGAGGGCACCACATGTAGTATGATCCCTACTGTGAACTGAAAACACCTAGTATTTTTTCTGCTTGTCAATGAACTAATTATGGTGTCTGGTTCCTTTCTCCTTCTCATATTACCAGTGAGTAACTCTCCTACCCCTTCCAGAGGGAGAAACTCGTCTTTGTGTGTCTGTATTTCAGAAGTGTTCATATCCAAAATAGATCTTTTGGACACTCTATACCAAATTCCAACTTAATATTGTTTGTTGACGGGACTTATCTTAAAAATAAAGAGATCTTAAAATTCATACGGACATTCAAGGGACGTTCAAGAATAGCCAGATAAATCTTGAACATGAAAAACAAAGTTGGAGGACTCACACTTCACGATTTAAAAACTCACTATAAAGCTACAGTAATCAAGACAGTGAGGTATGGGCATAAGGACAGACAAATACATCAATAGAATAGAATTAAGAGTCCAGAAATAAACCCACACATTTATAGCCAATTGATTTCAAGAGGATACCAAGATAATTCAATGGGGAAAAAGAATAGCCTTTTCAACAAATGATGCTATGACAAGTGGATTGCCATATGCAAAAGAATGAAGTTGCACCCCATCTCACACCATATAAAAAATCAATTCAAAATGGATCAAAGACCTAAATGTAAGAGCTAAAACTTTATTATAAAGCTCTTAGAAGAAAACAGGTATAAATCTTTGGGAACTTGAATTAGGCAATGGTTTCTTAGAAATGACATCAAAAACACAAGCAACCAAAGAAAAAAAACAGACAAATTGGACTTTATAAAAATTAAAAACTTTTGTGCTTCAGAACACACCACGGGGGCCGGCCCCGTGGCTTAGCGGTAAAGTGCTGGCACTCCGCTACTGGCGGCCTGGGTTCGGACCTCGGGCGTGCACCGACACACCGCTTGTCCAGCCATGCTGAGGCTGCGTCCCACACACAGCAACTAGAAGGATGTGCAGCTATGACATACAACTATCTACTGGGGCTTTGGGGAGAAAAAGGGAAAAAAAAAAAAAAGGAGGAGGATTGGCAATAGATGTTAGCTCAGGGCTGGTCTTCCTCAGCAAAGAGAGGAAGATTGGCATGGATGTTAGCTCAGGGCTGATCTTCCTCACCAAAAAAAAAAAAAAAAAAAAAATTCTCCAAAACACACCACGAAGAAAGTGAAAAGACAACTCACAGAATGGGAGAAAATCTTTGCAAATCCTATATCTAACAAGTGTCTAGAATATATAAAGAACTCTTACAATTGAATAATAAAGACAAATAACTCAATTAAAAAATGGGCAAAGGATCTGAATGTTCTCCAAAGAAGATCTACAAATGGACAATAAGCACATGAAAAGATGCTCCACATCATTAGCCATCAGGGAAATGCAAACCAAAAGCACAATGAGATACCATCTCACACCCACTAAGAGAGCTACAATCAAAAAGTCAGATAATAACAAGTGTTGGCAAGGAAGTGGAGAAATTGGAACCCTCATACACAGCCACTTTGGAGAATAGTCTGGCAGTTCCTCAAACGTTAAACATAGAGTTACCACATGACCCAGCAATTCCACCCCTAGGTGTCTACGCAGGAAACCTGAAAACATATGTTCACACGGAAAATTTTGCGTGAATGTTCACAGCAGCATTATTCATAACAGCCCCAAGCTGGAAACAATCCAAATGTCCATCAACTGACAAATGGATAAACACAATGGGGTATAACCATACAGTGGAATATAATTCAGCAACAAGAAGGAATGAGGCACTTACACACGCTGCGACATGGGTGAACCTTGAGAACATTACCCTAAATGAAATAAGCCAATCACAAAAAGCCACAGATTGTATGATTCCACTTACACGAAATGTCCAGGATAGGTGAATCCATAGAGACAAAAGCAAATTATGGTTGCTGAGGGCTGGGGGGCTTGAGAGGGAATGGGGAGTGATGCTATGGGCACGGGGTTTCTTCTTGGAGTCATGAAAATGCTTTAAAATTGATTTTGGCTGCACAACTCTGTGATTATACTAAAAACCACTGAATTGTACACTAAATGGGTAAATTGTCTGGCATGTGAATTATATCTCAATAAAGAAGTTAATAAAAGCAAAAAAAACCAAAAGGAAGACAGACAATACCAGGCTGGATATGCAAGAATTATCCAGGCTGGAATCAAGCCCCAAGGGACTCAGATTGACTCTAGAGGCCAAACTAGTGGCCCTCTGTAGGGCACGTTAAATTGCTAAAGATAGAAAGGTAAGTACGTACATGGAGAGCTGTAGCATTGGACTCTGGAATGCTTTGAAAGCAAAGAGGTTTACCGTCCATAACTGAAACCCAGAGGCCCAAGTAGAAGAGATGGAAGTTAGATGAAACGCTTCCCGGATCACCGTGTTAAACAGGCTGCTCTGATTAAAGCCCTTCGGCGAGGACTTCCTATAGCAGAGAGAGACAAATCCAGGGAGAGGCTCAAGGATTCCATCACACACACACCACGTTTGGCTTCCTATTTTGCAAAGGAGCCAGGGGAACAGTCAAGTTGTAAGATCCATGAGGATGATCTCTGGTGAAGCCTGGACGGCCACTTGGAACCACCAGACTACCTCACGTGGATGTTGTTAACATCTTCCCCAAGAAACTCATCCCACGAGGGACAAATTGGCTGTGATGTTGGACATTGGGGAGAAACTTTTCCAAGGTAGCCGAGGAAATGACCAGTGCATGGCGCGTCCATAACTAACAGAATCCTGGGTAAAGTGTAAAGATGGGACACAGAGCGGAGTCAAACCCCGAGGGACCCCGTGAGCACCTCCAAATGGATCTTATGGGTTATAAATATGCACTAGGAATAGTATGCTTACTTTTGGGGTGAACTGAAGCAGTCTCTTGTTGAAGAAAATAACAGCACTCACAGGAGCTAAAATATTATTAGATTTTGTGTTCCTTATTTGGGATATTCCAACTTATTTATTTAGTAATACGCAGACACATTTTACTGTGAGAGTCATTCAGAAATTACTCAGAAATTTCACTGTCTTTAATACCCCTAATCTTTTGGAAAAATAGAAATGAGCTTTTCAGAACTTACTGTAAACTCTCCATTTAGAGGTCTTAAACCGAGGTTCTTCAGAGACTCCAGAAGCACACAGTTCGCAGAAATCGACTGTTACCCAAGATTCTGAGAACAGGCAGAGGACTACACAAAGTAGACAGCTTCTTCCTGAGACCATTGGAATAAATTCTCCTAGCTCCTGATTTCCACATGCTCCTTTGCATATGTTTCTTTGTTCTTTGTTCTTTTGGTCACGTTTTCCCACCTTACGCATGTAAGGTTATATACACTTCTCCTTTATCCTATCACTCTTCCCTTACAAATAACAACTCACCTAGATCTAGGCCTTACTAGGGACAGCCACCATCTTTATTCTTCAAATTGGTTCTCCCAAGCTGTTGCTAGGGAAGCCAATACTGAAAAATGGCATAAAGTATGTTACATGAACCTTATTAATTAGGAGACCCTGTACACAATACATAAAAAAGAAGGAAAATGCCCTCGTGCTGAGAGAGGCGGCTTCAGCTGTCTCACATTGTATCTGACTGTTTATCGCAGCAACATGCACAGACAATATCCCTATAGCTCCAAGGAGGTTGATCCCTTCTCTGATATGGAAGCCCGGCTCATCAATGCCACCCCAGGACCACAGCTAAGTGTTCTGTGGGGCTAACAGACCGTTCCGAGTGAAAGACCCCTAATACCCTCAGTGAGCGACACTCTCTTGCAAAGCATCTCAAGTATAATACCCTTCCGAGCGACATAAATAGTACCTGTGAAGCAGACTGTGGCGGCTCTTGGTCCCATCCACAGGAACTGGAGAGCTCCAAGTGCTCATCAAAACTCTGCCCCTCACTTTGGGTGCTATAGTAAATACTGCAGCCTACGGCACGGTGTTGAGGGGCAGGACAAACCAGTCCGACTTCCTAGTGCAGGTGGTCATGGATGATAGTATGGCCTTGGACTTTCTTTCAGCCGACCAGGGGGCTCTGTGCCACAGCCAGTACTTCATTTTGAACCTGGATTCACAGCGGGGGTGAGGTAGAACAACCTACCTCGAGGCCATAAGAGAAAGCAACCTGAATACTTAAGGCAGACTGAGGGAGTTGGTGGGACTGGTTTTCTTGGTCAGCCCTGGGAACCCATAGATCATGGTTCTAGAGGGCCTTCCAGTACCTTCTAATAACACCTTCAGTTATACTTGTTTGTCTCAGTGATTCCATGTCTACCGTCTGGAATATTAACTGTTTTTATATAGTCACAGTCCCAGCAGATGACTTAGAGACAAAAGTGGGATCCAGTCACGCTGACAGTGACCTGTCCACCAGACCTCCACCAGTGACTCTTCTTGGAGGGTCAGTGGCAGTGGAGAAGATCTGGACAAGCCCTGGAGGCCTCTCCTGCAGCTTTGACTGAGGGAGGGACGACCAAAAGGGGGACTGAGAATAAGAAAACACACTTCCCCATAGTCCTAGAGAAAGCCTGTTGGCCCCATAGCGCTGGCAACAAGTAAATGCCAGACCTAGCATGAGCCTAAGGAATCAGTGGACACGCCTATGAAGGCCAATCAATCGATGACAGCCCCAGGCTTGGGAGTCAGCCAACCGATGGCAGATTCACTCAGTGATTGGGCCTCTAAGGCTGGTGTCGACCCACTCCTCCTCGTACCCAGCACAAGCCGTGCTCCTAAAAATGACAACATCCAATCTTTCCTCTAACCAACACAACCCCAAATAAGCTCCTCCCCAAGAAACTCCCGGCAAGACCAGCGGATTGCTTTGCTCAATAAGACTTTGCCTGAACAGCACAGCAATTCTCACTTAAGGAAGCAATCAGTTCAGCTCTTTGATTTCAGATATTAAGTGATGGTATCCACTCTTTGATAGTTTCATTCATTTATTCAACAAATATTTACTGAGCGTCTACGATTGCCAGGCTCTGTTCTAGATGCTGGGGATACAGCAGTGAACAAAACAGGCAAGAAACACCTGCTCAACTGTGGAGAGCGTGTATTCTAGCGACGACACAGACAACACCCGACAGGAGTAACAGGAGTATGTATAGATATATATCGTGTCTGGTGGTGCGAGGTGCAATGGGAGGATAGGACAGTGGGAGCGCAGCGGGGGCGGGCGGAGGGCAGCAGGGGCGGGTTGTTGCTCTGGGTTGGTGGGCAGGGAAGGCCTCACAGGGCAGAGGCCTCAGGGAGTGAGGAGCTCTCCAGGCCAAGAGAGGAGCAGGCACACGGCTGTGTTGAGGTGGGGGGACTACACCCGCGAGGTCAGTAAGGCTGGCCTGGGGCGAATGAGGGGGAGGGCGGATCAGGCCAGAGTGTAGTAGCCTTTGGGTTCTGAGGACTCTTGGCTTTGCTTCTGCATGAAGAGGAGTCACTGCAGGGTTCTGAGCAGAGAGGAACGGTTTCTGACTTAGATTTAAAGGGGTCCCTCTGGCTGCCCTAGGGATGGTAGAGCATGGTGGGGCAAGGCCCTGAGCCTTTTCAGGGACAGAGCCTAGCACCCAGAGCTGACTAGTGAGTAGTCAGTACGTGTCTGTGGAATCAGTGAAGATGGGGGAACTCAGCCTAGAGGGGCCCTGAGGACCCAGGGCACACCAGCAGAGGGTGCATGAACCTTGTGCTCTCCAGGACCCCTGTCCCCGTGGACATTGTGTGGCTGGTGGCTGGGGCAGAGGGTGGGTTTGCAAAGACTCAGGTGCCCCTGGTCCAGGCTCTGATGCTGCTGCACCCAGTGGAAGCACCCCCTCCACTCCCCCCATCTTTCTCGGCAGGACAAGGGGGAGCTGGGGAGCTGAGGCCTCCACACTCCACTCCCTCTAGGCTTCCAGCTCCTCCTGAGCCCACAGCTCCGGCTGCACACACCGCCCCCCCGTCTCCACCCACCTCTGCGCCCCCCTGCCTCCCAAGGTCCGTTTCTGTGCCTCTGGAGAACACCAAGTGTGCCCTTCCACCTGTGTCCCCTCTTCTGTAAGCCCTCATTCCCATGAGCCATATCCCAGCAGCAGAAACCTGCAGAGTAACCCCACAGGAAGAGGGCGGCCCTGCCTCGGCTCGCCCACCCAGAGAAGTCTCCGCCCTCCCCATGCAGGCACCAGGCGGGAGGGGGGAGCCAGCGCCCAGGCCCTTCTTCCTGGGGTCCCAGCGATGGCCACTCCCGGGCACTCACCCACACAGTCCTTCTGGTTCCAGTGGAGCCGCCTCCCTGGTGGGCAGACGCACTCGTAGCTGCCCTTGGTGTTGACGCAGCCCTGCTCGCAGCTCCCGTTGTTCATGCTGCACTCGTCCACATCTGGAAGCACAGGTGGGAGTAAGGGCAGGAGTGGGGCTGGACCGGCCAGCCCAGGCCACACCTGTGGGTCTGGCAGGGCAAGGCCCACCCAGGACAAGAGGGCCGAGAACTCCTGACCCAATCTCAGCCTGACACTGTCACTGGAGGCAGACACACAGCCACACAAGTCACATACATGAGCACACACACACACACGTACGCGTGCACACAGAGGGCTCCTACAGACACCAGCACACATCCCTCCCCCAGGAACCTCGGCAGTTTGCTGAACTTGAGCAGCTGCGCCCAGACTGCGGGCAGGGCAGAGAAGTGGCACAAAATTAAAGTTCCAGTCAGATCTTGTGAGGCGGGGAGCAAGCACTGCCCAGGAATCATGGGGCCTTATCTCACTGTGGGACTTTGGACAAGCCCCTTCCCAGCCTGTGTCCCCTCGTGCAGGGCCGTGTTCATGCTGGAGCACAGGCCTGTGAGCGCCCGGGCTGCCTGCATGCGGTGAGCGGCAGGCCCAGGGAAGCTGGCACCCAGGGTTTTGGGGGTCCCTCCAGAAGAATCTGCAGCCCACCCCAGGAGTCCCCCACCCAGCGCCAGTGAGCCTGATCACTTCACTGCCTGACCCCATCCAACCTTCACAGCAGCCGAGCAGAAGGAGTATGGCTGCCCCCAGGTCACAGGAAAGGAAGAGACACCCAGGACCTCGGGGCCATTCTTGGCTCCCCCACCTTTGCCTGCCATGCCCTACATCTCCAAGTCCCACTGTCTGTGGCTCCTAAATACATCTAGAACCTTCTCCCTTCTCTACCTCCCTCCCCACCCTGCCTGAGCTCCCCTAGCTCTCGCCCCCACGCCTGGGGCTGTCTCCCCACTGGTGCCCTGGGTTCTCCTAAACAGGTGGCAGCCAGAGTGATCTTGTTACATGAACTCGACCACATCACACCCATGCTTAAACCCTCCAGTGGCTTCTCACTGCACTGGGAATAAATCCCGAGTCCCCTCCGGGGCTCATGAAGCCCTGAGTCCTCTCTGTCTGCATCTCCCTCCATGCTCCCCTTCCCTAGCGGCTCTCACCACACCACCGCCTCTGGGTCCCTCTGTGCTCCCTCTGCCTCAGTGCCTTTGCACACACTGATCCCCCTGACATACTTCCTCTCATCTTGACCCAAACATTCCCCCTTTAGAATCCCCCCCCCGTCTCCATACTCTGCCCTTCTCTGTTGTCACCCTCTCCCACTGGAATGAATGGTCTGTGGGATTCTCTGCATAGTGGCCATCCCCCGTTCTGGACGGGTTCCCCCATAACTGCTGTTTCCAGGCCTATGCCCATAACCTCACTGAGGCCTGGTGCCCAGTGGATACTTGCTGCCCCCTCCTCCCGTCCTCCTGCCTTGCTCTCTGCTGAGCCCTTCTGCCCACCAGCCCCCAGCCTTGCTTAGGTCCTTCCCAGGCCCACTAGAGTCAAGGTCAGGGTTGGGGTGTGAGGTGCAGTGTGGTGGCCTTGTGGCCAGGCGCGTGCCTCGGGGGGGAGGTGGCCCTGGTGGGCGGGCTGCAGACCTCCGCAGTGGGTTGTCCCATAGAGTATGTAGCCGCGGTGACACAGGCACTGGAAGCTGCCCGGGGAGTTGATGCAGACGTGGTCGCAGGTCCGCTCGAAGGAGCACTCGTCGATGTCTGCGTGGCCACAGGGAGACAAAGTTTGGAGAGGAGTTTCAGGGTGGGGTGGATGGGCACGGCCTGTCACTCCTCAGTCACTCAATGTACATCTGTGCACGACAGTCCCCAGGCCCCGAGGCTTTGTGCACAGGAGATTCAGAGTACATCAGACATCTCGTTGAGGCCCGATTTTCCATTTTGTCTCCATTGACCTTATGGTTTTGGGTTAGAAGTCACCTCACATCTTTTCTGAAGGCGGGCAGGGTAGAAATATTTTGAATAGAAGGCATTACTCTGAATCTCTGCCACTTTAACGTCTCACATTTGGCTGTGATTAGGATGGGTATCGAATTCACACCTGCAGGAAACTAACAGGGCCTGCCTGGGGAAGCAGCTGAACTGGGACATGACACCAGGCCTCTAGGATGCTGACCAAAATGTGTCTTCCTATCACCCCAAGATGTCTCTTGACAAAATAAGGAAAACAGCACAAACAGAGAGAGGGGAGGGAGGGAGTATGCAACCCACAGGGATAACAAAGTAGCCTTGATAGTATGTGAAATTTGATTCTGAGCTTCTGGGCAGCCAGGGTAAAAAGGGAAAGGGGGAAGGTCACAGAGCGCTTGTTACCAGAAAGGAGGAAATGAACCACACGCTCACAGGAGACAAGTCTGTCCTGGCCATGAGTTCTGAGGAAAACGGCTCCCATGGGACAGCTGATGGGGGCTCCTGAGGGCAAAGCAGACACTGGCCTGCCTCTCCACGGGCACTGTAGTTGGAGTTCACTCTTTGAATACATTAGCTCATGTCACTACACGCCTACTCATAACACATGTGTGTTTGTAATAACACGAGCACAAGGAAGGAATTGTGCTGCGGATGCTCAAAGGAGGATGTGATCCCTCCCAGGGGGGATCTGGGACGATCTCTGGATGCTTGTGGCACCTGGGCCAGACCTTGAAGGATGAGGCTAGCTTGGAATGAAGGAACAAGAATTGGGGAAGAGCACTCTAGGCAAAGCTGGGAAGTGGCAGCACGGGGCACCCAGGGGGTTGTGTGGCGCTCAGGGGGCTGGGGAGGTGTCTGGGGTCCCCATCCCAAGGGCCCTGAGTGCCACCAAAGGAGCATAGACCCCTCCCTGCTGGAGCTGGGGAGCCCAGGGCAGTGCTGGAGCAAGGGCAGGGCATGGCCAGAGCCCAGGCCTCAGAGAGAGGAGCCCAGCAGCAGAAACGTCATCCTCTCCCTGGACCCCCCACCCCTGCCTTGGCAGCTGCCTATGCCCACCTCTCCCATAGGACAGCTGGGGATGCAAAGTCAAGGGCCCTCCCTCGGCTTCCACAGAGCGCGGCAAGGCCCACGGAGAAACAAAGTCCAGGTGTAGAGGAGCCTTGATCGGGGCCTGGACAGATGCTGTGCTCCCAAAGGGCACTTGAGCCCCAAGAGGAGGTCAGGGCTGGGACGCCCATCCAGGGATGAAGAGGTCGAGCCCAGGAGGGAAGTGACTGGCCCTGGACCCTCCCTCACCAGCCTCCTGCTCGCCTTTCTTGGGGCCCTTGGGGAAGCACATCCCTCGCCCCTCAGGGCTGTGTGCTACCCCAGGGCCGACCTCTGAGCTGCACTAACCCACAGAAGCTGCAAGTCCCATAGCCAGACTCTACCTTGTGCAGCCTGTAACTACTGGAACTCCACGGAAAGAAAAGGACTAGACTGCAACAGAGTAATCAGTGATGAAACTGAGCCACTCTCCCGCCACACAGGACATCCTGGCCCCTTCCTCTGCACTCTCTCCCAAAGCTGGCTCCACACGGCACCCCTGTCTCCTTCTCAATGGCCTCATCCAGCCCCACAGGGCTCCTTGTGGTCCCCCAAACTCCCTCAGCCTAACACTTTCTGGGTACGGGTTTGCCTCCCTGGCTCCTCCTGGAAAATGCCTATTCATCCTTCAAGCATTTCACCAATGTCCTCTCCCCCAGGACGCCTCCCCTGACAACTCTCTCCACTGCCCATCCTCTGGGCTCTTGCTGCATCCTGACCATCTCTGGACTTGTCCTGGGCTGTGATTCTTGGCTTCTGCCCAGACCTCTCCTCCCATTACCCCGACTAGTCCTAGCAGGCACCCAGGGACCCTAAGACGGGACTGTTGGAGAGCGCCTGCAGTGTGCCATGCCTTCCACCAGGTGGCAACACGCAACCTCTGAAGCTACTGAGGGAGGCCTGGGGGCCACCAGGAGGGAAGGAGCAGGACAGAGCTGACGAGCTCTGCCACCTGGGACCTGTGCCGATCCCTCCCTGGGCCTCCGTTTCTCATCTATAAAAGAGACAGGTTGGACTGGATGGCTTCTGAGGGCTCCCAGAGCCACAAAGGACAGGGAAGACAGGGAGGGCAGGAGCTAAGGACCGAAAACCGGCCCCCATTCCCTCAGGCCCAGCCCTGCAGGTGGACAAAGCCCACCCCCACACTCACCTCCTCTACTAGGAGCTGCACAAGCCCGGGAGGGGAAGGGCCCTGATGAGGATGGGGATGTCCCGGCCGAGGGCTGACCGGGGCACGCAGGAGGCTCACCTTGGCACGTCCGCTCGTCGGTCAGCAGCTTGTAGCCCTTCCGGCAGCCACACTCGAAGCTGCCCACGGTGTTGCGGCAAAAGTGGTCGCAGCCTCCGTTGTTGACCATGCACTCGTTGATGTCTGCGGGAGCCAAGGGGGCGGGGCGAGGCGAGGCGAGGAGAATGGGCTCGGGCCACAAGGCGGGGACCATGGCCCAGCACCCGCCCTGCCCTGACTTGCCTGCCGCCCATTGCCCAGGGCTGGCCTCAGGTCTCCCAACTGGGCACAGGGGTGGGGGCCCTGGATCACAGTGGTGGGGGTCAGGAGGATGGGTTACACTGCTTCCCCCTCAGACTTGGCAATCCTGGCATTCATGGCATAGAAGGGAGGGGAACTGATGTTTGCTGTGTCAGGGAAGACAACAGGGACGAGGACGTCCACCACGTCCTTTCATCCTCACAAGCTACTGGACCCCTGGAGCCTTGGCTCCCAGCTGTAAGACCAGGATCAGCAGTGCACCTACTTGGAAGAACGCCACGGGGACTAATAACATTCCCAAGGAGCCGGTGCTTAGTCAGTGCTCAGTCAACTCTTTTTGAAAAGTAGGTTATTGTCCTGGTTTTATTAATGGGCAGACTGAGGCTTAGAAAAATCAAGTAAGAGATGTTAGAGATGCTGCAGCTGGCCGTGGGAAGCTGGGGTATTCCTGGGCCCGACTGGCTTCCAGTCTGGTTCTTCCCGTGGCCCCTCAATTCCCACCTGTTGGTTTGGGTCATTTCTTCACCCAGCATTTAAGGAGTTGTGGCTACACTCCGATGGTCACCTGGCCCAACCCCATGCAATAATGACCCCTCCCGAGCACCCCTGCCAGGCGGCCTCTGCTTGCACACCTCTAGTGATGGGAGCCTTCTCCCTCAGAGCACGGCCTGTTGGCTGATGTACCACAAACTTCTCCCTGTCCCTGTGAGTGCCCCTCCACTGCCCTGCTCATCTGGCCTTTGCTCTCGGGGCCCCATGCCAGCCCGCTGGACTGTGTCGTCGGAGACCCTGTCCCTGAGGTGCCTCTTCTTACCCCCAAGTTCCTCTTGGGCCCCGACCCCAGGCCCCCATGCTGGTCACCCTCCTCCAGACACCACCCAGCAACTAGTAAGAGAAGTAAGAAACGGCTTTCAGGATGGTGTTCTCACCCTATTTGGAGGGGGCAAAAAGGAAGCAGTGAAAGAGCCCCTCCCAGCAGGCAAAACAGAAGGGACTTCTCCGTGTTGGCCAGCGGCCACATCTCAGCAGAGCTGCCGACTGGGATGCCAGCATCCCCTGAGCCGGCCCTGAGCCCGTCCTGAGCATCCAGCCCCTGTAACTGGCAGTGCCCTGTGAGCAAGGTCACTCTGCCTCACTTTACTGAGCGCCCCCCCGGGGAGGGAACGTGGTCCTAACCCAGTGACCCTGACCGCGGGCCAAGCTTCTCACCACCTGCTCTCACTTCTTTTTCCTCAAACCAAACAGGCTGGACTTGACGCCTGCTGAAAAGTCCTCGAGCAGCGCTCCCCCAGAATGATCCCCAACAATGAGACAGAAACCAGGTCTGTGGTCAAATACATCAGAAGAAGGGGGGCTTTAAAGAGAGGGAGGCTGAGAGCCCCCCACCCCCGGCAATTCTCAGAGCCTTTGGGAGGGGAAGGGGGCACGGGGAGTCTGGCAGGGGCGGACCCCGGAGCTGCTCTCCTGTGGAGGCCCCAGAGGACTGGGCTCTGGGTGTGTCCCTGCGTCTCTTGCCCTTGGCGGGCCTCCCCAAGTCATCTCCACCCCAAAGACCCAGTCTGTTTGCATATTCTTGTGACTCTGGCACCAGGACAGTGGGAAGGGAGGGAACCTGAGGTGACCCCACTAAGGGAGGCAGCAGGGGTGTGTGCGGTTCCCTAGACCTGGCTGTGACCCCCGGCTCTGCCACTCGTTGGCCGGGGGACTTCTCTCTGCACACAGGAGGGCTCTATGGGCGCACACTGAAATGATCACTGAAAATACAACTTCTCAGCACTGGGAACCCTGCACGCCTTCTGAAGCCCGTGTTTCAGGAACAAAGCTACTGTAGGGTGATCCCATGCCTCAGAGGGAGTAGGAGGACCCTCTGGTGGTAACTGCACCTACTGGGCACCACCTCGTGCTGGCGACCACGCCAAGCACTTTCTGGCAAGGTCTGATGTGATCTTCAAAACAACTAGGGGAGCAGATCCCACACTGTACAGGGGAGTCACAGCCATGTGCAGGAGCCGGGTTGGAGGCCAGTTCCAGCTGTCTCCAGAGACAGGCCTTCTCTGGTGCACCGCGCTGGCCCTGCGGCCTCTGAGGAAGCAGACGTAAAGTCTGGTGAGGGCCTGTCCAGGGCAGAGGCTTGGGCATCTCCATCATCCCTCCCCGGGGATTACAGGAAGACGGGGGAATTTCTAGCTGGAAGCCTCCGGCAGGAGATCCGAGGCCCATCTCAGCTCTGCCCCAGACATCTGTGTGATCCTGGGCACAGAAAGGCGCCTCTCTGGGCCTCAGGTTCCCCATCTGCAAACGGGGCTGCTGACAGGTGCCTCTGACAGCATCACTGGTGAGACTGAAGGCGCAGAAGGGGCTGGCCTCCTCGGGAACGCCGCAGGCCTTCTGGAGCCCCTAGTCCCATCCCCTTCCCCATCTGGGCCCGTCAGCTGAGGGGCTGTCATAGCAACCAGACAAGCGGCGGGAGGCATGTTTGCTTGAGGCCCCGGCTGGTGGAGCCCGCTGCCTGGGGGTCAGAGGCGGGGAGGCACCCGCAGCTCCAGCCCAGGATCTAGTGAGGGGGCGCTGGGCTCACACAGCCCCTCAACCTTCATTCTGATGAGCTTCAGGGGTGCAGCCTCTGCCCCCTCCACTTCCTGCCCCTCTAAGACCTCCCTCCTTTCCCACTGCATGGGCCCCCAGGCAGCCAGCAGCCCCCTACCCGTTTAAAAGGTTTCTGTGGCCTCCTGGGGTCCCAGGATAGAGGTCCAGCCCCTTTTGCAGAGGCTGGTGGCCCTTCCCTTCACAGCCTGGCCTGGCTGCCTTGCTCTCCTCTTTCCGTAAGCTTGGCTTCTGCATTGGCAGCCCTGACTCTGGCCCCCCACCTGGTGCAGCCCCCACCACACCCTGCCCCTGGGAGTAACTGCCCCACAGGGAAGCCTTCTCGGACATCTCTCCAAGTGTTAGCTGCTTCCTTGTCATGGGACCTGCCCTTAGGGAATAAGAGGGTCTCCAAGACAGAGACTGGGAATCTGGCTCCTGCCCGGAGCCCCAGGGCCCAGCATGAGGCCTGCACAGAGTGACTGCCCAGGAGCACTCACTGAATGCATGGATGAACGAATGAGTGAACGAATGAGTTGGGGTGGCTGAGAGAAGGGTGGGGTCTTGGGCCATGAGTGGAACATTCAGAGGCATCAGCCAGTGTTCAGCACCAGTGCGTGTGTGAGGGAAGGGCGAGGGTGGGCTACAGCAACGCAGAGAAGGACAATTGTTCCTGCTCCCACCCAAAAAGGGAGAGATGGGGGAGTGGGCTGGCATCGTCCTGGAGCAGCCTAGTGGGGAGGCAAGCTGCTGGCCTGGGCTGGCCGGACAGAGGGCAGGCGAGGGAGGAGAGGAAACAGGCGGTGGGTGGGGGTTCTCCCAGACTGTTCTGGAAGGTGTTGGGAGGAGGGGCTGGTGTCTCTGAGGAAATCCAGGCTCCAGCTCAGGGAGTTGAGGCCCCAGACCTCTCCTCTCAGAAGGGCCAATTAGCAAGGTGCCCACTCCCCAATATCAGGTGGGTACAGCACCAAACAGGGAGGGTCGAGACTGGACCCTGCACTATTCACACGTGAAACAAAGCGAGGGCTTGGGACAAATCCTCCAGACCCCCCCAACAGCCCAGGTGTTTTAGGCAACACACCCCCACTTTCCCATGTCTGCCTCTACCTGCCCATCCCATCCCTGTCTGCCCCGGGTTTTCAGCTCTGGATTTTCTGAGACCTCTCTTACTTCTTCCCTCCAGCCATTGGTCTTGCTTGACATCGACATTTTGGCTTCCAGAAAACACTGAATCTTTGAAATCACTCCTTTGATATCCTCCTCTGGGCCCTTGCCAAGACCAGGGTGTGCACGCTGACTGAGGAGCTGAACTGCCAGGGCCAACGCCTCGAGTTCACCGGGAATCCCGGCAGGGCTGGCCTTGACCTGCATCTCTCCAGCTGGGGAACTCAGGCTATGAGCCCAAGGCTCTAAGACACCAACCATGGGGTCTGGAGGTCACCGTTTGGTTTGCAGGGTGTCCTGATTTGAAGATGTTACGATGTTCGTATTATGCAGTTCTAGACTAGTCCTGTGATCCTTAAATTCTAGTATCTATGACAATATCCAGACTGCTTTTCTCCACCTCCACTGCAACCGCCTAGCCCAAGCCACTGTCATCGGGAGCCTGGGTGATGGCAGTAGCCACCTCACTGCTCTTCCAGACCCTGCCCAGAGACCCCTGTCCAAGCAATAGCCAGGGATCTTCTCAAAATGAAAACCTGGTCAATAGCATTTGGGGCCTCACCCAGGCGTGAAGGATGAAGGGCCACCCCCTCCCCAGGCCCACAGACCCTGCCTGCACCTTCTGGCCTGGCTCCCCTGCATCTCCCCAGACCCAGGCACACTGCCTGCCTTTGGGTCCTTGAACCCCAGGCCTCTGCACAGCAGCCACGTGCTGCTGGAAATGCTGCCCTGATTAAGGCCCCTCCCTCTGCCCTCTGCCCTCCCACCCCTAGCCCAGCCAGGCCCTGGCCTCGCTCTCCCGCCGCACTGTACTTCCAGCCAGCACCAAGCAGTCTGTAACACACGTTTCTCTCGGTGACTCTGAAAAACGAGTATCTGTCTTCTGCACTGGATGGATGATCCCCAGGGACAGAGAATGTGTTTCATTCACCTGTCTCCCCAGCACCTGCACACAGGTGGAGCCCAGCAAACCCATCTGGCACGTGAGTGAACGAGACGCCGTCCTGACTCCCAGGCAGAGGGAGTGAGGAGATCTGGCCAAAGGCAAAGGGCCAAGCAGGGGCATCCTGGAGTAAAGGGCCTGACTGTTTCAAGAGAAACACGGTGGGGGACTTGGACTGGTGGGCCTGGGGCTGTGTGGACAGCTCCCCTCAGCACCTCCCTTTCCCCAGACACAAGCTAGGGATGAGGTGGGGACAGATGCCCCTTGGGCCACCAAGTGATGGGCAGTAGACAGCAGTCAGAGCCCCCTTAGGGGCTCCTCCTGGGCCATGTGACTGCTGAGGCCCCTTTCCGGCCTGGACAGCTTGGCTCCCAGCGGCAAGCTCCTGGCCTCACTTTGGGAATGGAGCCACGCCTGCCCCTGGTCCTGGGTCAGCGCTGAGCCTCGGAGGGAGGCAGAGGGGCCTGATTCTACCCTCTTCTGTCCCGGCTCCATGGGCAAGTGGCCAGGCCTGCTGTGACACTGCTGGGGCTGCGGGGACCCTTGGCTGGCCCTCCTGGCACCGAGTCCACGTGGCGAGGCCTCAGATACCACCCACCGGCCTGGCACGCACCTTGGCTCTGAATAGGCCGAGCGGGGGCTACAGAAGGGCTTTATTTTCAAATAAACAAGCGGAAGAGCTGTTACTTCTGTCAATAATCTCTAGGTTCTTCCCAGCAAAGTGGCCAGGAAGAAGAAGTCATATGCTGTCTATTTTTACAGGCTTAAAAAAAGCCCACCGCGGACTATTTAAAATCATCCTAAGCCTCTGTGTCAATATTTTCACCCACTGGACTTGGGAAGTCCAAGCTCTTCTCCCCTTCCACGCCCCTTTCAGCCCTGCCCTGCTGCCCAGCAGGCGGGTGGGAGGAGGGGCTGCCCCTCACTCCTTCGCAGGGGGCTCTGGGGTTTGGGCCTGACCCCCTGCCCAAGGGCCTTGGCTGCTGAGGGTTCCGGAACACGTGCAGGTCTCTCCTGGATGGGTCCCCCCATGCTGTAGGGCTGGCCCTTCAGTCTCTAGAGCTCACAACCCCAGCCCCCCTCGCTTCGTGTTTCCTGAGGGATCCCAAAGCCGCTGAGCACCCCCAGAGCACTGGGGAACTCTGTGGGGCGAGTCAGGGAACAAGTGGGAGGAGAAAGCTCCACCTTCCGTCACCTCTGGCAGCCGGCAGACCACCGTTCCCGCGCTTCCCTCAAGTGCAAGGACCCTCAGGTCCTCCCGGTCCCTATCTTCTAACTTCAAACAGAGGTTCCTCTGCCTCCTAGTCCTTCAGTTGAGATCCCCACCACTTCAATCCTCAAATGACAAGGACACAGTGTCCTTATTTTTCTAATGGTGACAAGAAGACAGTCCCATCCCGATAGGAGTAGACCTGCACTCCCAAGCTGCCGTGAGCCATGCTGTCACCCCAGCTGGTGTGATGTGACAAGTAGGGTGAGGGTGAGGAAATGGGCCGCCCCTCTCTTGGGGAGTCCCAGTGACTCACTGAGGTCCTAGGCAGTCCTCCACCTGTTCAACCCAGTGTGCAGCCAAATCTTTGATATCAGAACCCCGTTTTTTTGCCTAGGAACCCATCCATATACACTGGAACCAGCGTTCTCCTGAAGCCGGCTGGGGGGCACTGGTGCTGACCCTCCCTCTTCTGGGCCTCCCAACAGAAGTGCCAGTGACTGCTGACCACCCTGGCCCCTGCGCTCACACGTGGGCCCACACGCAGCCCAACCAAGCAGCTCCCACTCCTGTCTGCGCCGCCGTGGGCTGGGCCAGTGGAGGTGGGCACGTGCTGATGAGGCTCCGCCCTGACCTTTGCATGTCTTCCCATCGGGCTGCAGCGTGAATCCAACCGGGCAGCTGCATCGAACGCCGGTGGCCGTGTCCTTGCACGTCCGGTCGCAGCCTCCATTATTTACCGCACACGTCTCTGAGGAGGGAAAGAAACAGAGAAGCTCAGTGTCCTCCGACAGAAGCCACCACCTTTCCCATCCATGGGGGCATCTCCTGAGACAGGGGGCCTGAGTTCGAGTTCTAGCTCTGATACCCTCTAGCTGTGGGGCTTCTCTGAGAGTCAGGCTCCCCACCTGTAAAATGGGAGAAAGACGACATGCCTGTGCGGTTGCTGGTGAGGATACACTGTGATGATGATGGATGGGGAAAACTGCAAACTACACAGGGCTGTGCTTGCGTGAAGGTTACTGCCAATGGGGTCAACAGCACTGTTTGGAGCTAGTGCTGAGATTGGCCTGGCTGGGGTTTAACTGCCCAGGGAGATTCCTAAACTCGTGCCCTGCCTGGACTCGGACTCCAAACCCAGATTTGCGGTTACTGGGGGTCTCAAACTCGTCTCAGCACAGAATGGCTGGTGGCCTTGACCATGGAGTCGCGAGGGGAGGCTCCCAGGCCCGCACACCATCCATCACCTTGATGAGGCTCTCAGCCCGACATCTGTTCTCACTGAACGAGAAGCCAAAGGCGTCTGGCTTTTGTCCACTTGAAGCTTGTCTGGTGCTTTTTTTCTCTTTTGCAAATTCAAAGGGGCTGGAATGGCTGGACCTAACCCAGGTCGCCGACCCCGTCGTGTGGTGAGAGTGATCCTCCCCAGGCCTGGAGAAGGGGCTGGCAGAGCCAGGTCACCAGGGTGCAGGTGGCCCGCACACGGAGGAGCCAGTTCCTGGGCCCTGAGCCTCTCACCCCGGGTTTCTTCCTGAGCATCTGGCCTGCTTTGATCTTGTGGGAACAGTGCCTGAGCGGGCTTCCCTCTTCTCTTTGCTGCTAAGAAGCTGAGAGCCAAGGGCCCCATCTTTTATAACCTGAAAGCCCTGCCTGCCGGCCTGGCTTCCCCTGGTGCCTGGCCCCGTGGGCTTTTTCCCTGAAGGTTCCTCCTAACAGGCTTATTCTGTCTGTCTGTCCTGCTGTGGTGTCTGCCTTGGGTTCTCTCTGGGAGGATCTAGGGATGAAGACAGGATGACTAAATGCACACATACTCCCAGCTGCCAGGAGTCCCTGCTGCTAACTAGACCAAAGTCATGATGCCTTTCCTTTGAACCTCAACTTGTGGGGGCGAGCGGGAGAAACCCGGTTTTCCCTTCTGTGTGTGTGAGTGCGTGTCTCTGTGCCTCTGCGGGGCGGCTGTAGCGGGTGTCCTGAAGGTGGGGCTGCCTGCTGCAGAGGGCCACCAGCCCTTCTCCTCAAGGCTAATGTCTTCACCATGATGGAGGCAGCCGTAACTACTGCTGAGAGGCAAGCCTCCTTGCCCCTGACTCCTTGTCTCTCAGTGTGTCTCCACAAATCCTAGCCCCCAGCTGGGCGTGGGCAGCTTCTGTGAGGCTCCTCACCCTTGTGTGTGCTGGTCCAGCAGCCGGGAGGCCTCCTGCCTGCTCATGGTTCAAGGCCCAGCTCAGGGACCACTTCCACGAGGGGCCTCCCAAGCCCCAGACGCAGAGGGAAGGCCCCTGCCCTGCCCTGTACTCACGCAGGTGGGCCTCCATGTTAGCGTGGGCCATGCTCTGACTGGCACACGGCCTGCTCATGCCTGCCTGTCTCCCCACCGGACCATCTACTGGGGCAGTGGAGGCAGGCAGGCCCACGTGTGAATCCTGGCTGTCACTCATGAGTAACCCAGGCAGGCCACCCCTCGGGGCTGGACCTTAGCACCCACACCCGGCAGATGAGGACAACAAGCCTTCCCTCCTGGGGCTGAGGGAGATCAAACAGATGCCCAAACTAATGGCGCCTGGCCCGGGGCCCAGCATGCAGTAGTCACTCAGCCAGTGTTCGTTTCCTCTCCTGAGGTTACGACCAGAGAGGGAAATCCCGCCCCCAACCCCCAAATCAAAGAGCCAATGTACACCCCCAAGTGCCTCTGCAGCCTTTCATGTGGGAGAGCCCCTCTCTGGAGATGGGCAGAGAGCGCATCTGTTTCCCAGGTGCAGGTAATTAGGCTCCGGCCTTGGAGAAGCGGGAGGGGGGACATTTGGGAGGAGGGGGCAGCAGCAGGCGCCCAGAGCTCAGCCGCGGCATAGCTGGGTGGCCTTGCTTGGTGACAGCAGGATGACAGTGGGCCTTTCTGTGGCGGGGATGGGGCTCAGGCCCTGGGGGCTGTGTCCCTGAGAAATGGTCCTGGCCAGACAGGCTCCAAGGGTCTTGTAGACCCTTCCTGTCTCTGGAGGTCTTGATGGGGTCTCGGGCACCTGCTGGCCCCACCTGCCCACTGGGGTCAAGCCTGGACGGCCACTCGCTCTCTGGACCGCCAGCGCAGTGCGCTCCCCGCACCATGCACACTTTCAGTGCCCTGTGTTGCTCCAGGCAGTGTTCTGTGTCTAAACTTCAGGTTTTCAGTGAGGGCCTCGTGGGCTGTTCTTGGGTGCTGACCACTCCAGCTCCTCGTTATGACGGGTCACCTGTGTCAGGCCCCACTCAGCCTTCCAAGCCTCACGCCCCCCGCGCTCACAGCAGCTCTGAGACGGCTCCCGCAGCTGCCAGCTCCCTGGGAGGAACTGACGCAAGCACCCGGAATCTGCCCAGGGCTGTGTGGCTGGTGAGTGGCAGAGCTGGTGGCACTCGCCTCAAATCTCCCTCTCCAGCCAGCCCCAGCCGCAGGGCCCTTACAGCCAAGCATGCCCTTGACTCTCCACCTCCTCCCTGTGGCTCGTCTTCCACTGTTCCCTGGTGCCATGAACGCAACCCCCATCTGCTCCAAGGCAGCCTCCCAGGAGGCCCCCTCCCCAACTCACCCGGCCTGGTCCTGCGACCTCCTTAACATCTGATTCTGCTCCCGCTCTTACTGCTACCCTTCCGGGCCAGGCCTCCAGTGTTCTACGTGCCTTCACAGCCTGCCAAACGTCCCCTCCTCCAGACCACCGCCTCACTCTGGGTAGCCAGTGCCTTCAGGCTCATGTGATAACGCTGAGAGCCAACGCTCACTGAGGGCCTTCTCTGCCAGGCCCTGGGCTGGGTGAGGGCGGGGGTGAGCACAGTGAGCGACCAGCCATGAGCCTGTCCTCAGTGCTGCCCTCGCTGGGGGCCTTGCACCTACCTGGCCCCCAGCACCCCACTACAGCACAGGTTGGTCGTTCCTGCCGTGCCCACCTTGGGAGCATGGGTCTGACATTAGTAGACGGACACAGTATAGTGCGATACATATGGGAAGGGAGACAATGAAGTCTACCCAGTCTTCTGGGCTACGTGAGTGTTGGGGACTGAAGTCCACGATTACAGGACAGGCTGCTGGGTGGAACTGGGAGCTTGTCCTTGGGAGTTTCCAAGCAGAGGCTACTGGACGCTGCTGAGGGGGCTCTGTGCCCTGGGGCAATCAACCTGGGTCACTCCCCCTGACCCCCGTCTCTGAGTACTTCAGAGCAGCCTCACCTCTCTGTTCCCCAAGACCAGAGGCCACCCAGGCCTGGTATGAGGCCACCACTGACTCAGATTCTGAAACCAGACAGCCCTGTCCTCCCTTTGACTATGCCCCTGTGAAGCTGGCTCTGTGTCCTCGGTCACGCAGCTATTGGGAGGAGCCAGTATTTGAACCCAAGACTATGGGACTCCAGGCTGATGAGTGAGCCAGACCAGGCCAGAGAGCCAGGCCTTCCATGGGCTCCTCAGGGGCGGTTTGCAGTGGGGCGGCAGAGCTGGTGGCCTGAGGAAGCAGAGATGGGCGCCCATGGTGCCCGGCCTCCTCACCCAGTGAGTGGGGAGAACTCCTACCCCATAGGGCTAGGCTGGCAAAGGCCAGGCATGGGGCTGGGGGGTCTAAAGTGGAAGGGGCCCGGGAGCGAACCCATTTTCAGCAGGTGAGAAAATCCCAGATGTGCTAAAAGGCCAGTCTTCGGTCTTTCCCTAGGGGATTTCTGCTTTGGGCCAGGCCCTGTGAGAGGCACTGGACACACAGAGGTGGGGCAGAAGCTGAGCAGGAAAGGCCAGCCACTCCACTGGACCTCTGTGCAGCCCGGCCAGGGCTCGGACAGAGGGACGGGGCTCGGATGGCAGGATGCCCTTTGAGTTGGCGCTGCCTGCCTGCACCATCCTAGAGCTGGGGCAAAGTCCGGCAAGGCCCGTGAAGGACAGTCTCAGTCACAGCGCTGGACACAGCACGAGCTATGGAGTCAGAAAACAGAGTTCCATCCGCTGGCCCCGGAGCTCGGGCAAGTCCCTTCACTTCTCGGAGTCTGAGTTTCCTGACATTCGATGTGGACACGGTAATATTTGCCACGTAGCTCCTGCAAGGCCCAGACAAAACATGGACGTGATGGTGCTTTGTAAACTGTCACAACTGTGACCACACGCTCACTCTTGGTGCCATTTCTTAGAACCTCTGCATGTGGAATCTTAACACCCAAAGTCAGTTGCTGATTCATTTGATAATTATTTTCTGAGCTCCTGCTCTGCACTGGGCAGACCTGCCTTGGATGGTCTCTGCTCTTGTGGAGGCCTCAGCCTAGCAGGGCTGCAGATGGGTTCACTCCTCTGTCCAACCAACAATTTGGAAACGATTCCTTGGTGCTGAGTGGCCACGAGAGAGCAGGTACAGATGAATCTGATGCTGAGCCAGGCCTCAGGGGTTAATGGTTTATCAGGGAGACAGAATAGGGCCCGGACGTTGCCTCTCTCCTAGGAGTCTAGGCCTGCCTCCCACCCCTTGCCCCATCACACCCAAGCACGGGGTCCACAGGATGGCTCCCTGGCCCAGCTTCATGCATTCCTCACGACTCAGGAGGCCCCTCGAGAGCTCTCCTGAGCCCTGTTGCCTCTCCCAGGCCCTGGGCTTTCATTTGTCTGGTGGTCTTTCCCAACGACCACTTACTTTCCAGGCAGGGTCAGGGTGACCCTGGGTCCCTGGTGTCAGGGGTCCAGTGCCCAGCACAGGACTGGCACAGTGGAGGGGCTCAATTTCTGCTGAATGACCAGATGAAAGAACAAGACTCT